CTCTAAAGAAATAGTTAATTTAAATAGTTTTTTTGATTAGGTGCGCCAATTAAATTGGCGCACCAATTAAATTAAATTAAATTTTATACGGTAAGATGGATTTTTCTCTTTTTTAATTGTGCTCTTTTATAAGCATTCGAATTTTATAATCTCTTTTGACTTTGTTTATTTAATAACAGCAATAATAAAAAATTTTGCTATAAAAATTTTAAGATCGAAATGGAATGTGCGGTGTTTCATAGACTTCACCTCATTAGTTAAGGTTTAAATTAAATAAAAATACGAAAAATATAATTTTTATTAAAATTAAATCATATTACAAAAAAATTATATTACTGCGTTAATTTCAACATATATAGACAAAATATAAAACGTTTATATCGATCATAGATGTGTTATAGTGTCTAAAGCATTAGGCTCATAAGCAAAAGGTGTCTCAGGTCCAAGTTCTCGAATCCCAGTGTTAGTGAAAATTTTTAAGTGTAATATAACATTTGGAATCAAGTAATCTTAAGTTTCAAGTAAAGTCACCAAACGCTGACTGGTTTTTTATTTCAACCAATTCGCCAATATTTATAAAAAAGTAGAATTTTTTGCGCTTATTTGAATATTCCTTGTACATTCTATGAATATTTTGGAATATTCTTGGAATGTTAATTTTTATTTGTAGAACATTCTATGAATATTCCAGGAATATCTAATGTTTACTGGGTTTAACAATGTATCCAATGTATACAGAATTTATATATTCTAAAATTCAATATAATATTGCAGTTAAAGACTACCCTTATAGAAATTTAACACTGATAAGTGATAATTTGGCCAGCGATAATTACTATCGTTCAATAATTTTATTACTCGTACGAGTAATAACTATTTTTACTGGCCACTTATATTTATTACTATTTTATTTTTATATTTATTACTTTTAACTTATATTTATTACTGGCCAATTTATCACAGCCAATGGTACTTTTCTATAAGGGTAAAATTAATGGATTGTTATTAAGAACTTACAATAGACACAAATGTTGATGTTCATTCACAGACTTGAAGAGTTAGACTGCACGCTTACAGAACAGCTGACGACGAAATTGTAGGATAGAATTATGCTGAATCAAGTAATTTATCTGTTACGCAACATGTTAGTAGACGTAATAGAAGAAACAGAAGAGTGAGTAAAACAAGGAAGGAAAATACACGTTAACCTGCTTAAAAAACTGAATAGAATTGTATAAGGAAACTCTTTTATATATTAAAATGTAAGAAATTGGATTTTCTAATAGACGTGATAAGTTCAGATAAAGTATATATACAGTAATACACACAGTGCAAGGTTTTCCTTCTAAATAGATTTTTATTATATATGTATAATAACTCAACTTAAAAATTAATTCTTCTTATCATGATAGATAAGAAGATTTATACACGCATAAATATACTGAGTGCAATAATAATTAAGAAACAAAAGCTTTGCCAACTATAAGTAGCAAAGAGAATAAACTACACAATTCAAGTCGCTGTGCACTATTTTGGTACCATTGGGATAACAGTGCTGAAACAAAATGAAAAATTCCTATACTTTACAAGGTACACTTTGCACTTTTCAAAGATAACGTTTGATGTTGTCAAGTAAATATTAATTTTAAATCAACCTCTATCGTCGTGGCTTGTAATCCAACCGATCACAGGTTGCATCTCATTTTGTCGTTTTAACCACGCATTCAAAGGCTCAAAATATCTGAGCATGGCACCAGCATCTATTCTATTCGTTTTACCTCTTGTCATCTGTCTGACAACATCTTGCCACGGTCTCGAAGCCCCCATCGACAGAACATCTCTGTAAATACAAGACTATTGTTTTACTGATGTAGTGCCTATTGTCGATAATCGTCATTTAAGTGATAATTTAGTAAATCTTATTAACATCCACAATTATAACTATTTTATACGTACGATAATAAGCGACCTGCTTCTCGTAGCCTGTAAAGATCACAAGTGTGCAACTCGCCAGTATGACCAGAGATTTCACACAATGACTGGAACAATTGGAACTGTAAAACAACGCCTACAAAGTACCTAAAAATTAACAAACACATAAGAGTCACACATGCTTTCACATAAATTCCATTTAAAATAATAAAATGTATATATTTATGTCCCTACTTGGCATAAGGACTGTCCGCCGGGATATGATACTTTGCTGCTGGATCAAAATTTCTCTCGGATCTAGGCACAGGTGGAACAATACCCTGATATTGCAATCTCAGTTCCCACCAATACGCTGTCATATCTTCCACGCCGTCGCTAAAGACACGCCATCTCCACTTAGAACAAGAAATAAACGCATGCTTTTTATGACTATTAAATAATTATCTAGTTTAGATTCTAGCTCTACAGAGTCTTACATTCTTAAAAGATTATGTTGTGTAAAAAGTTTGCTACAAGTTACCTGATCAACTATATAAGCAAACGGCATATAAGCTACTTTGCGGAGAGCCATTAACATTAGAAAATTTATGCTACTGTCGTAATCATCTGTCAAATTATTGTGCAATCCAATTTTGTGTAAATGTTGAGGAGTAAAAACAGATAAACCGATTGCATCGCTAACAGCTTCGTGAAGACCTGATGGAAAAATTATCATTGACAGAAAATCAAGTTGTATAAAATGTATAAAAAGACGTGAGTACCTGGAATCGCTTCACTTCGAAATAGTAATGGATGATCTTTATATTGTAGATAATATTGCAAATGCGCCATTTCATAATGAGTCGACAATAGATCTTCTAACGTAACTCGAGTACACTGCTTTATCCTATAAATGTATCAAAAGATATGACTTTAGGAAACTGTACAGTTTAATGCAATAAATAGAGGCGCGCACGCGTATGTATATTTGTTTGGGCGTGTGTCTATGTATGAATAGAAAATATATGAAAGTTTTAACAAATAATAAAAGAACTGACCTGTAATCGATTTTATTGCAAAAGTCCCACGCGCTAGGGCTACACTTAACTTCCCTATCGATAGGTTTTTCGAACATGGAAAACTTCCAGAATTCTGGAGGCATCGGCTTCATTCCAAGTGAAGTAAAGAACTCCTCAGCTATTTGAAACATCCTTTTCACCGTAAAAATATTTTCACGTAACGTTATTTATATTTTATAAATTTTTATGAAAGTCACCATTCAATTTGTGGCATACCTTAGTGGAGTGATACCTTGAATCATCATTTCCAAAGTTACATCGAGCTTTCTGCTTGCAGGGAAGGGTTGCACTAATTCGAACAGTCCTTCCCAATTTTGGGCCCACATATTTCCCAAAACATGCGCCGGTAAAGGTCCGTCCTCGCGTATTTTATCACCGTATCTTTCGATTAGTTTCGATCGTACGTAAGTAAAGAGATTCTTATAGAGGGGAGTTATGACTGACATCACCTCCGCTATGTTTTGTTGAAAATACTCATCTTCAAATAATTCCCTCATCTGGTCTCCAGCATCTGCAAAACCTTTTGCAAAAAAACATGTTTGAGTCTTATATATTTTCTCAAAGTGCATTATGCTAAGAATATTTTTATGAATTAAAGTATTATATCTATTGTAACTGAAACCTTTTCATATACCATTTAATTTCGCTGCTCGATTAGCTAGTTGAACGTATCTTAAATATTTGTTTTTAAGTTTTGGACCGACAGCTTCATGCCAAGCGTGCCAATAATACAATAATTCGTCGTAGTCTTTTGATTCTGCCATTATCTTATTTATACCTGAAAATAATTTATATAAACACGCGGAAATGTACCCATATTGTATATTATTTCCATATACAACATATTTTTTTTAATTAAAGAACCAACCATGATCTAGACTCAAATTACAGCTGACGTCGATATATTTGTATGGACATATTCTGGTTTTAGTATAGATTTCTTTCATCTCAGTTATTAAACGATGTATCTGGAAATTAAATAAATAAATTTATACACATTTTATATAAGTGAGATCGCAGCACGAGGTAAGAGAATAGTTTATATCTTTGAGAACTTAATAACAGCAATTCTAGTTAAAGTCAAGGAATTGCTGTTACATTTATAGTCAAATAAAGATTAAGGGATTAAAAGATCTTGTTGTCAAAGTCATCTACCTCATTAAATTTATCGTCAGTCAAGGAACTTCGACCTTTTGTAGCTATCATTTTAATTTCCCTTCTTGCTAAAGGATCTGGTATTCGGGTCCAAGCAAAAGTAACTGCTTTCCGCCAAGAAGCCCTTTCAAACTTTAATTTTAATGTTTGTTCATCCACCTGAGGGCCAGATAAAATGTTATGAATATTTCAATGATTTATAAATTATATTTGTTTGTCAACTTCTTTCAGATAAAAATATATATGTTTTACCATTTTTTGGTGGTTTGCATCTGTAACATTTGTCGCGAAATTCCACTGGGCCATCATCACCCTCGTGCACATTAACGAAGCTGCGCTGTCATATTCTCTGAGGAATAAAAGGGCATCCCCTAAATTCACGTTGAGACCCTTTGAATGAAACGTAGTGGAAAAAAGAAACATTTAGAGAACGTTCATTACAATTTCGTTATATTTATGTGTCATGTTTCAGAGAACAATAACTATAATTTTTTAAACGTGGTCGATGTTAAAATATCTAATTTTGAATTGTAAATCAATTTGCAATTTTACCTCCAAATATTTCCCATGTGTTTCTCCTTGCAGTAGAATAATGAAGAAGACAATGAAGATTCGAATTTCCACTGTCTCCATTCTCCGCATATTCATCGCTGCACTAACAATTGATACAATAAGTTTCGTCGCACACGTTTTAAGATGTTTCTCATTCTCAAGAAGAATTTTTGGCTTGCCGCAATGCGCAAGAATAAGCACAAGGATGGCTTAAATCAAGAACCTAAATCGTTCCTAATAAAAGTCAAATAAATTTAAACGAAATGTGATTAATACCACGTCAAAAAATTTCAACAGAGATGAATCGTCGAGAACGATATTTTACCATACAATATTCTTTATGTTTATAGACTTTAGAACAATCGATCACGTTGCTGTCTCGACAAACGGTTGAGGAATCAGCGGTTCAATGTTGTCGCGGCAAAACTGAATCGTGGCAGAAAGAGAGACGGGCCTTTCCGGGACGGATATTCCACGGGCGAAAAGAGGAAGGGACAGGCACTATCGGTGCATGAAGCGTAACCACCCAACACCGCATCGCGGCACACGCCAAAATCTTTCTTCTACTACTTCGCAATTGCTCGATTAAATGTGTCGTAGAAGTTAATCCGCGAATAGCTTCGATATCTCAATCGTCTTGTATTTAAACTATACAAGCTTATTATGACAGTTTTCTCGTGTTTCTCTTTCGTTACAAGTAAGCTATATATGTAGTTGGAGAGTATTTCTCAGCAAAATAATTTATTTTATTGAAAAGTGCATCAATGAAGAAACGTGAACATACAAATTGCTTGGTGAAAAGTGCGCTTTGTACACAGCGGTACATAACTGAGCTGGCTTCATCCTGTAAGAAGACACCGTAACTTTAATTACTTGGTGACACAATCAGTGACGGCACGACCGTGCAATAATTGGTGTACAGAACTGTCTCTCACGTTTTATGACTAATCTTAAGTCTGATGTTATCTTCGATATTGGTGTTAGAAACAGTAGAATCTACATTTTGATACGTTAATTTATATATACATAATGTTCTTTAACGTAAACCATTTTTTTTTTTTACAAAAATAAACATACCAAGTTTATTTGTAGATATAGTAAAGTGTAACACAGAGAATAAGATTTCAAGTGATCATTGTTCAAGATCATTGTTAGGATATATTTAAAGCAATTTCAGTTACTAAATGAGGTCGAGAACGAGGTTGTAATCTATTAAACTCAAGTCCGCGAAAGGAGTTATGACTCGTTGCTCATAAGCATCTGTCCAGAACATTCCCAACAACGGTAAATCCATTTTCTACGCCTGCAAACATAGAACCACGTTATATTTTCGTGATTATACGTGATTACACGATTGTACTTATTATTGTACATGACTTGAATTTTCAACTCAATCGCGGATAAATTTGTCGACTTTTCTTAAGACAGAAAATGCAAGGATTAAAAAAATATGCTTGTCAAATAAGATATTTGAAATTAACTTAGCATATTTTTAATAACAATTTAATAATGTTATACTGTTAACATACTCTGTACCTGCTGGATTTTAAGGTTATTTGCTGAATCTTCATTTGCCTATGTAATCGTTTGTGAACTTTTTGTAATTCTTGAAGTTCTGTATGTACTTTGATGCAATCTAAGACTTCTGGAACCTAAATGTAATCGCGACAGTTATATAAGCGATCAAGTAATAGATATTTTTGTATACGTCCATTTTTTAACATTTTTCGACATTTATTTGTACGAAGAATAAAAATTTGTTGTTGCTAAAATTGCACATAAGAAAAGGATATTACACTAAAGTTGTCCATCAACTCCGTCAACGACTTGAGCTGTACTTGCGTTTTCTCTATTTCGATGTTTACGGCAGCTTGTTCAGACTGTAGTTTCACAATCTCTTCTTTTTTAAAGACAATCTTAGCGCTCACTTCATTTAAAGTATTCATTAAGTTACTTAATTTTTCCTTGTGTTTGGTCAATGCGATACTATAGCGACCTGCGAGAAACGAAACGATTTACGTACTGCAATTTTCGCAGAATAATTATTGGTTACCAGCGATCTTCTTCATTTCGAGCATATGCTGAGTCTTCTCGTCGATTTTTCGTATGCAATCTTGATTTTCTATGTTCAATTGTTCAAAGTCTACAGCGCGTAGAGCCTCGCCGAGTTCTTGTCTATGCTTCAGCTGTTGCTTAGCTTTCCTTTTCTGGATCTTTATGGTCATCATCTTCAATCTGATTCGTTCCATTGTAGTATCGACTGCTTTCAAACACTCTTCTATGAACCTACGAATCAAACTCGTACCTATTGACCTTATTATTCTTGTCCATCTATACATATCTATAATAATCGATAAGCTTATGTATAAATGTAGGATAGTTATTGCGACACCTGATAAACTTCTCAGCCGGTATTTTCCCCGTAATGCTATCTACACCTTTTTCTATAATATCTTTTTCAAATTTCTCCCTTGTCTCAAAAGTTTCACGAATGCTAATCTCATTTTCTCTTATTTGCGCCTGCAAATCTATTTTCCTTTTCGCTGATTTCTGTTCAACCTCTATCAACTCTTTTAACAACTGCTGGATTTCAGTGTTAATCATTTCGATACGATTTGCATGTGAGATTCTATGATTTAATTGAACGAAATTTTCGATAATCAAAGGCACAGTAATAACGAATGTTATGATTATTTGGCAAACTAACTTTGTTCCTGCTTTTCCTATTCTAGATAGTAAAATACTTGGCGTGACGTGTCGACTTCCGGATTGTATACTGGCGACACTTATTGTATCCTTATCCTGTACAGTTATAACACTTCCGCTCGTAACAAGTGACGGAGAAACGGGCTGAGGCACGATTTTTTGCATACGTTTAGCAGCTTCTAGGATTTGCGTTATTGCTGGACGAAATATATTAAAAATTCAAGTTAATATTTTTGCATTAAGTTCAAGTTAACGTATTTCCGGGATAATGTTAAAACGAACTTAAATCTTAAATGCGACAATTCCTGATAAACTTAAAAAGTTAGTACATATTAAATGAGAGCATTACCTTGAAGGCTCTCAGGGTTTTGACGCATAAGATGTCGTTCGAAAACATCGTTTTCTAGCCTCAGAAATAGATTTGACTTCGCGATATTTTCGAGTGTTTGTCGTAATTCTGAATCTGTCATATCTAAACATATTAAAGCTTTTTGTTACACTTTAACTCTATAATTATAATTTTTTTAAGGATATTTTTATACCTTCGTAATAAGACTCGTCTAGTTTAAAGGTTAAACCTAAAGATCCCAAACTGAAGATACTGCTTTGTCGTCGCGACATTTTTATTTTTTAAACTTAATCTTTATAGATTATTTAAAATTTTATAGTACTGAAAGAATACTACACATAATATTTATATAATATTAAAATTGTCTCGTATATTTCACAATTTCTCTCACTATGTGTCACGTAAAAAATCTTAATGTTTTTCAACTATTTTCAGACACTAATTTCCAGACTTTTTAAGAAATTCGAAATCAGTAAATTTATATTTTTAATAATTACATTACATTTTTAATGTACAAGATATACATCACATGGCATATTAATATTAACTAAATTTAGACATTTTATGACAAAATATCATTTCTGAAAAACATATATTTCACATTTGTGCAACCATTCAGTGATACACACAACTTATGATTAACAACATCGTGTAATTATCAATTAATGTGTTATTATAAAAATCTAGCTAGATAAATTAAGACATATATTTCTGTTAAGACTCTGCTAATAGGGCTTCTTGCTCTATTTCAACATCATTTACATATAAAACGTACGCTATGCCAATTTCCTTTTGTTCTGAAGTGTAGGATCTAATTGCGGCCGGTAAGTCGCTAATGGAGAAAAGGATTTCTGCACCGCCGTCCATAAATTCATTCTGCAAAGAATATATTTATAATTTTATAGAGAATATATTTAAAATTTGATATGTATATATATATATATATATATATATATATATGTATGTATGTATGTATGTATAAATGTGTGTGTATATCTCTTAACTGTGTGTGTCTGTGTATGTATATGCAAGTGTGTTTTACACAGAGACATAATTCTATGTTAAAAAATATATTAAATTTTGCAGTGTTGAGAAATACGTAAACTTTTTAAAATTACATCACGTAATAATACTCATTGAAATAATAATCACTATGAATAATATAAAACTATATTTAACACGAATGTTTAATTCTACTCTTACCTCAACTTCTGCCTCTTCTCCATTCACCCAAACGCTATGAGCTTGTTTATCTGTAAATATTATGTAGACAGAGAGTGAGATTTTTATGAAATGTTTGAACTAACAAATATAACATAATGTTTCCCTTAATTACCTAGTACAATTCTGTATTCTTCATTTTCAACTTTAGCCAACCAGGTTTCCAGTATTTTCGATTGCGACTGGACAAACTGCTGGTAACTCTTTCCGTTCACCCATAAGGAGTAGGAATATTTCAGACCTATGGAGAATTATCTTATAATGGAATAACAAATATTTATTATCGCAAGGATAATCCACCAACGATAATCTACCTGGCATTGGATCGACTCTGATCACGAACTTGGTGTTGTTGAACATAAAAACTTCGTCACCGACGAGACGAAACATCCAATCCCGGTTAACTATCACGTTACCATCGACTTTTACAACACGTTTGCCTGTTGCTGTTCCATGCTCGAATTCCACTATATGATTTCCATCGCTCATAGGGACAGTCCATTTAGCAGTGGGTTCGCTTATCGAACTTTCCAAATTATGGAGACTCCTAGAAACATGTAAAAATAGCACAAACATAATATTAAACATAATAGCACAAACAAAAAATAATATTAAACTAATAAAAATAATATAGTAAGAGAAATAAATAAAAAAATTGTTCTTTTACTTGAAACTATATGAATATACAAAACGTTCAATAGCATCCATATAGCGATCGATGTATCACTTTTGAAAATTTTGTCGATAATAACAAAGATACAACATTGAAGGCATAGTGGAAACTTCTGTATATAAATGCAGTAAATAACGTAAATAAACTCAAATAAAAACGTTAAGTCGGGGAAATAATTGTTATCGTTATTATGTGTTACTAGTGACAGCTTTTACTATTCTATCGCTCACAGAAGTACACGTGTATTGTGAAATTTTGATATTATATAGTTAGCACATATAAATTTACGATAATAAAAATATGTACAGTTACACAAATTAACTGTAACAATTTGTGCATTAAGTGATATTGTAAGAATAAACAATTTTCTTACTAAATCTATGTATTTTACTCACCGAAGTAGAGCGCCTGCCATGTCTCTTCCAGCTGCACTTGTACTGGCCTCGTTATTGATCGTCCTACCGCGACTCTATCCTCCCGCAATCAATAATCGTCATTTTATCATACTGTATCGTATTACTTCTTTACATATCTTCTAGGGAAATAATACGGTTCCCTAACTATGTGGTTGTTTCAATGTTAAAACATATTTTTTGATAATATGCAATACGCATATAAATAATTAAAATAGGACACATAATTAGCGATTATATAATAATTATCTAGTATTTTAGTAGAAATATATTTGTTATTTAAATTATATATATAAAATTATATAATTATATATGTAATTATAAAATTATATATATATATATAATAAAATCTTATACAATTTCGATTTAATATTACTACCTTTTGTAAAATTTACTATTGATAAAAAAATGGCACAATTAAGTAATATAAACATATTTATTATAATGCAGTACACATATAAAACAGTAAGTTATACACAATAATGATATAAGTAATAACTTTTTGTTATTTAATATATCGACTTTATTCGGTGTGGGCAGGTAACAATTTACCCGCACATTGTCCAAATCCAACTCTGTAACCATCACCGACACAATAACCTGAAAAAAAACAACGCTAGTAAATTGATGGGTAATTTCAAATATGATGTAACTGTTTTATTTGCTTACCGCGAATAATCACTTCATCATTATCTTGAAGGAATTTTCTTGTTGCACCATCTTTAAGTAGAATATTCTTCGTTCCTTTCCAACATAATTCCAACATAGAACCGAAAGAGTCTGGAGTCTAAATATTTTGTATAAATATCACAGTTGTATAAATAATTAACTTTACATTTTTTGAAGATAATAAATATCACGAAATTTTATGGAATTATATAAAACAAAGGCATTTAATTAATAATAATAAAAAAATTTTGAACACACCTCTCCACTTATAGTACCGGAAGCCATTAAGTCACCAGGATTAATATTGCATCCGGTCACAGTATGATGCGCCAATTGTTGTTGGGATGTCCAATACATATGTTTATAATTGCTGCGGCAGATAGTTGTAACTATGCCATTCGAAGCTGCAAAAGTAAATTTATAATTATTGTATTATTATTATAAGAGAAAAGTAAAACGATGATTATTTAACTTACGCTTAATGTCCACTTCCAATTTAACGTCGAAGTTACAAGACTCAGAATGTTGCAAATATGGGAATGGTATTGGATCTTGAACCGCATTGGGTACTTTGAAGGGTTCTAGAGCTTCCATCGTAACTACCCATGGAGAAATTGTCGTTCCCAAATTTTTTGAACCAAATGGACCTAATGGGACGTATTCCCATTTTTGAATATCTCGTGCTACAAAATAATTGAATACAATACTTGAATTAAAAACAATGTAATACATATCTAAAGTATAGTGGAATAAAATTTTATTATAATACAATACCACTCCAATCATTCATCATGACTACTCCAAAGATGTAGTCGTAGGCTTTTGAAGCTGGAATAGTATCACCGATATTCGTGGGTTTCCCGCCGATAAAGAAAGCCATTTCCAGCTCAAAATCCATTAGTTTTGATTGCTCAAAAACTGGTGCTGCGCCTTCAACAGGAAGTATTTGACCACGTGGTCGTCTTATGGGCGTGCCAGACACAACAACGGAACTGGCTCTCCCATGATAGCCGACTGGCAAGTATTTCCTATATATATAATTGTTTTACAGTCTGTAAAGTATTAAAATGTAATAATATAATAAAAATATTACCAATTCGGCATCAGTGCGTTTTCCTTGCTACGGAACATGATGCCAACGTTTGTAGCATGATGAATTGATGAGTAAAAATCAGTATAGTCACCAATTTTTGCGGGCAGGTGCATCATAGCATCTTTCTGTGCAACTAAAACTCTAAAAAAGAAAAAGAAAAATTATAATAGTGATTCTAAAAATTTATATTTACTATTAATTTTTATTTATTATTTTCTTACTTTGAGCAAATTTCCGAATTTTGCAAAGTATGGTTGCTGGCAGAAAGCAACTCTTGAAGTTTTGATCTTGCTTCTAACCATGCTGGTCTACCAAGTGACATAAAATCATTGAGGCAATCACGTCGAAATACAGCCTGTTTATCTTTCAATAGCGGGCCATCGAAATAATTTGCGATAGCACTTAAATCCAAAATTTCATCACCAATTGCTACTCCTATTCTTTTCTCAGGCTAAAATATTTTATATAAATACCGTGCTTTATCACGTCAATAAATAAATTAAATTATTAGAACTAAATAAAATTATTATACATTCTTATTAATAGAGAATCTATTAAACTAACAGTATGTATTTTACTATCATAAAATAATGCGTATTTTGTAGGAATTCAAATACGAGAATTCTAAATTTATCGAATGATAGTAATGTATCAACTGACGGTACCAGAATGAAACAGCTTGCTACTAGATGGCGCTGTACATTATAATAACTATGCGTTCAGCGGAATGAAACAATTCGCAAATGGCTAGTAGTAAATCGATTAGTAAATTTGAATCGTATTTACACTTTTATCTAAAATCCGAAAGTATACGCTAATCAGATTCTCAAATCACCAGTTATCTACTAAATGCTTTGTTCTATGTGTGTATGTGCGTTGAATGCAAGACATATATTTTATTCTTTATGTAAAGATGCATAACAACGAATATATATCATTTATGCCCTGTTTCTTTTTGCACATTATAACGTCACCAAAAATTATTATATAAAAATTTTTATAGAAATATAAACGTAAAATATGTTCACCTAACCTATAATTCCACGATAATGACTAGGTAGTTATATATAATACTATGCTATGTGAATGATGAACATGATTTATGATTATCCATGACACATTATGATCTCACTTACCTTATTCTTTGTAGAAAATACTCCATACGGTAAATTCTCGATCGGGAAGTCGCAATCTGGCGAGTAATTGATGAAGGATTTCATGGTTATAGCTGCTGCGAACGTTTGCCGTCAAAACTGACTTCTCTTGCGTGAGAGTGTTACGACTCTAAGATAATCAGAATATGGAGGCTCGCAGAGGTCGACCGGCGAGATAATTTATACACCTGTTTACGATCGTTGCTGACAAGCATCCGGTTTAACTGGTTTCCTACATTAAGGCGACGAAACCAGCTCTATCAGTTAGTTTCTCATTATCATTGTTTGTTATTTAATCATGAATGTTTTTCAATTTAGAACGATGGATTCAATAAAAGTAAAATAATTACAGTTACATTATATCACATAACGCTTCTTCCATTCTCTTTAAGTTTCCAACTTAAATTGCAACAGATTAATTTTCTTAACAATATATGGTTGCACTAATTATTTTTAAATTATGCACACATATATGTGTGTGTGTGTGTGTGTGTGTGTGCGTGCGTGCGCGCGCGCGCGCGCGTATGTATATATAATTTATTTTTACGAAATATTCGTATATGCAACAAAGTTTGCAACGAAAATAAAAGTGAAAAATTTGTACAAATTATCTGTAGATAACTTGGGATAACAGCAGTTTATTAGACATTGATATACAGTGGATAATAAGGGCAATTAGGTGAGTAGGTGGTATTCAAACAACATTACGACGTGCCAATAAACAATCATCGTTAGCATACTCTTTCAACTTTCGTTTCTCGTTTACGTATCAACAGGGAGTTTTGTGCACACGCGTGTGAACATATATATATTTTTCTCTTTCTCTTTCTATATATATATGTATATATATATAAATGTATCTTTCTCTTTTTTCTTTCTCTCTCTCTCTCTCTCTCTCTCTCTCTTTCTTTTTACGTACAGTATACAAGGATAGCTTTCATCTCGATGATGTTTCGAGGCTTTCACACTAAACGCTAATCGTTACTCTCATCATTTGGAAGACATGGGACTTTGTTGTTGCTTGCCTTGCTCCATTATCAACTTAGATTAATAATTAACGATAACGATGAGGTCAAGGGCTTCCAAGGTCGGTACGATAAACCGTCAGTAAATGAATTTAATCGTATAAATGACGTTATATGACGATTTCCTATCTCGTTGACGCAATCAAAATGAGAGATTTATTTGTTTACATACATATGTATTTCTCGTCGATGTAGACTATCGAGAAAAGTTGAAATATATCAATAATTACTACGTGCAATATCGTAGTGCATTACGTGCAATGCAATGCTGTGCAGTAAACATTGTAAGAATTAAGGGAGTGCATAGCGTGCATGGTGCATGATTGTATTATATAGAAGTACAAATTATTTTTTCAGTGCTTCGGGCATGTGCATATTACTTGAAGATATGCTATGTGCATCTCTAAGAATTACTCTAAGAATACACTAGGAATTAAATATATAAAGCGTGTCTTTACGTGAAATAACGTTATATTTAATTCTATCTTTCTCTCTAGTCCCAATAGTAATACTCTAGTAATACTCAGACCAATAAACCGGCTTTTTATATACACGTCTTTCTTTTTTATTGTTCGTTATGTGAATTTTGATATGTTGAGCCGCTTAGGATAAATTACTGTACGTATCGTTTTAACAAATACAATTTCCGCGATATCCACAGTAACATTTGTGTTTTTAACTTGCATTTATATAAATGATATATTTTCTAATAAGATTTAAAGTGCTTTAACATATGATTATATTAATATTATCTCATTGTCGTATCTATCATCAATAACGTCAATAACATTTCCTAAAATTGTTTACGTCCGGACCTATAACGTGGAGTTCAACATATTAATTGACTCTACATGCAAATTATAAATAATTGGAAGTCTACAAGGACGAGCATACTTTCTGTACAAATATATATCCCTCTTTCCTTAAAAAGAAGGTCATTTACACGGGAACCAGTAAGACGCGTGTATTAGGAGAGTTATTCGTTTCTGATTAGCATTGATCGCTATGTCGGCAGTGCCAACAACTATGACTAAAAAAACTCGCAACGCCGATAGAATTACGAATAATAATTAACAATATCTCGATAGAGCCTCTTTGCAGGTATCGGTTTGCTGGTCAGATGAATCATTTAATTCATTTTCCTCTTTCGAAAAATACATTTTGTCCTCCCCCCTCCCCTTTGGCGCATAGTCATTACAGATGAATTGTGTGAACTCTGGATCAACAAATAGAAAATTTAGTCGCAGAAATATTTTCCGAATTAATGTTTATGATACATATTGTAAATTATTATATAATTGTTTTGCCTAGATTGTTTTAATCTTTACGTGACTGTATTATAAGATACAAACAGTTTTGAAATACAAATATTATTCCTATTTTTGCTTCAGATACATTACAAACGAAAGTTCACTCTTTTGTGAAAGTACAGAGAGATATACTTTAAAAAGAAGATAATGATTGTATTTTATCTCCAATAAATTATCACTTTATATATTACTTTATCACTTAATATCCAATTTTAATCGCCTCATCGATACAGAGTTCAACACAGTAACACACTTTATATTTTATATATTATATACGTTTCTTTATATAGAATTGACATCGCTCGCTATAATCCGTCAGCCAAGCGCCGTCATTTAAGTACGTATGATTAACATCTTTGGCATTAAGTTACATGTAACAGGACATATCGATTACTCTCTACTTCGATAATCACGCATTAGTTCAACCCCAATACTCTATAATTGCGGCTCCCCATTTCTAACGTGTTTGACTAAGTGTAACTTAAGCTAATTGCCACGACAGCACGGTAGTCGACGGAGAAAGAAATGCGTTAAATTACCAAAAATGTACATAAATACACTCAATTTCCCGTATAGTTACACCTAGATATTTTATGTTACTTACACGTTAAATACCGTTTTCTGTTACTCCGTACTGGCGAGTAAGTCGAAATCTATAGAGTCGTTCGGTTGTAAGTGTCGTCGAACAGATCGAAACGCTTGTCGTCGTTTGTAAATTTACCGTGTTCATAACGCATGTTATAGAATTGTTTTTGTGATGTAAAACAATTATGAAATACTGAGAAAAAGTATGTTGGATCGATACATAATTTAAAAAATTACAAGATTTATACGTCTCTCATAAAGAATTAAGATAAAATCTCTATGATATTGGAAATAATCACTGCATCAGTCCATATTGATGCAATTCTTATTTCCAACGGTATGTTATAACCATGTGTATAGTGCTTGAATGAAAAACATAGATACATCTCTAACAGAATCGACGAACTAAGTAACAACCGTTCGCACGAATACTTGAAAAAGCATGTACTTTCATGGGTTTGTGTTTTGTATTCTTAAAATCTCAACACTAAATATATATATATATATAATATATGCTTTGATATTTATATATTTATATACTTTTTCTGTATATATATCTATATATTAAATAGTACTCTCCGTTTTCAGTTAAAACTGTTCAACAGTAAATTATAATATACATATATTTGTATATAATGGGTGCAGTCCATTTCATAACGTTATCCTCGCAAACAATCGATAAATTATAAACACTGTCAATACCCCAACAAAATAATGCGCAGCATTAAGTCTATTTTCTATGATGTGAAACGTAATATTATTTATTATCTATTCACAATGCCACGTCGATAAAAATTTCTTTATTCCGTAACTATTGGCTGACGATTCGTTGTAGCTCATACAACGAGGACAATGCTTAAGCTCAAAGAGATTAGCCATAGCATACATTTTATGTCTTAGATACACTTCTACACCATTCGATCTGCTCTTTCATTTCTGTGTGTTATAGATAAACTATAAATTTTGATTAAATTGCAAATAAGAATCTTCCTATTTTAATGTGCATTTCATTAACAAATTTTTAGTAATTTTAAACAAGTGTTAAGCAATATTAAATGCTCATAATTATTCAACTATAATAAAATATATTTTAATATATTCAAGAGCACAATGTTAACTAAAATACTGATACATTTGATAAGTTGTTTATGCAACTTGATATCACTAAATATTTTAAAATGAATTTAATATATATTGTTTGAATTGGCACATTTGTGTTAAAATTAATTTGTTAAGCGTTATAAATTTTGAACACTCTTACTCTTCGTGTGATCCATGTTTCGAGATAAAATATTTAACTCGGATCTTTCATTTGGAAAGCAGATCTACATTATTATTGCTTCGGTTTATAAGAGATTAGTAGCTTTATTGCTCGCGTGCATATGCATCGAGCAGCGAAAAATAAGAAATTTGCATAGCTTACGGCCGGAAGCATCTCTAACTTTGTAACTTGACTCTTCGTTTCTTTCGGATATGCCGTGATATTTCGTTTAAATCTAGAAAACTTATGTCCTATGAACATTCCTTGACACTCAAGTTTCTCCTGCAAACTGGTTGCTAGATGAAGAAGCGTTTAGCTAAACATCAACCTTTCACCAAAACCAACACTGTCGTTTCCCGTCCTCAATTAGATACTTATGTGAAATTAAATTATTTTTATCATTCTAAACAACAATTATACTCTGTCGACTAATTTTAAATTTAGTGGAGTTTGCCATGGAACAATGAATGAACATTTATGGTCATTTATAATATGTCGAAAAATGCAATAAGAAATTTCCTACCAACTAACTCGATCAAAATTTAAATATTATAACAAGTCAATATCAAATCAATATTATCATATCGTTTGCCAGCACTTACAAGACATTCTTAGTCTGTTAATTAGCAAAACTTTTAAGCAAGCCAAATAATCCACGTCGGCAAAGATTAATATTACTTCTCGAAAAAAAAAAAAAAAATAGCAAGAATTGAATTAGCATGTATTGTAATAATGAGACCGCACTTATCTTTGCCTGTCTTATGCTCATATTTTTGGTTCCGAATTTTTTATCTGAGCTTCGAATCTTTTGTACACATCATTTAAGAGCGCGTCGTGAAATTTTCGACGTACCCAGTTGAATAATTACGTGACAGCGGTATGGTTTGGCCAACAGTGTATGTCAGTCATCTAATCGTATATCGTACGATTTATGTCTATGGACAAGTTTCTTACAAATCATGACCCAGTCGGTCCATTTCAGCCAGCAGAAAATCGACATCAGCTTCCGTCACGGCAGCACTGGAGATAATGTTTCTGAAGAAGTTGGGTCGTCGGTCGTCCGGCTGATAGCCAACCATTAGTGTACCAGCTTGCATCATGCGTCCTTTCAGAATTGGGCAAATCTGGAAAAGCACGAACGTTTCTCTTGTTTCAAAATCTCCACAAAAGATTTCTGAGGCTTGTCACATTATTATCAGACCTGCTTGTCATCATACTGTTATCAGACCTGCTTAGATTTTCGTTAAGAGAGTTGTAAGGAACAGTGTCGTATTTTCAGTGGCGTTTTAAAAGAACCACTTAAAAATGAAAAATAGCATGCTAATCCCGAAGAACACATATCAACTTTAGCTTTAAATATCTCCAATCTTTTTCTAATTGTATTATCAGTTAGATAATATTTCAATTTATCATTATATCACAATCGTCGACAATTGTCAGTGTTAACTACACATATATAGTGTTAGTTTTAATAAATTTCTAACAAACTCATTTTTCCTTACAGTCTCCTCAAACGTTTCTTGTGTTCTTGTATAAAATGTCTTATCACGCAAACGCGCACCTCGCCTAAGATCTTTATCTTCTCTGCGGTATGTGGCATGTTTCGCACGCGCGTAGGTAAGTACCAGAAGCAGACGTTCACTAATTCAGGCTCGAGAATTAAATAATACTTGTCGGACATTTGCTTGATCCTCCTAACCATGTACTCCGTCAGTTCCATCAGACGATCCATGTGCTTCTCGAAACCCTCTGTACCCTAATAATAAAAAATGACGAAGCATATTGTAGCGAAGATACAAATCTCTGTGGAAACGTGTATACATTGCTGAGAGAAATGGAAAGTCGATATTTAATGGGGAAATATACGGACAGCTTTTCGTAGCAATACGATGGGTTTTGTACCTTGGCGCGCCATTGCAGCCAAAGCTTGAAAATGTCATTATGACGTCCACATTGAATGACCTTATCGCCAGTGTCGTACCTCACATCGTATAGCTTGTCCGTCATGAACAGGTACTCCGCGGACATTTGGTTACAGCTGATCAGTAGGCCCTGCAAAATGAAAACGGCTCTCGCTTTCAAAACCGACGGGAGACGTGCGTACGTTTTTCCGATAATGGAGCATTTCCAGAATTGTTTCGCGTGATTTCCGATTGACAGGCGTTGGAGGAGGAAGAGGGCGAGTCTGTCCCGGTCGATACCGCGCTTCAACACATGCGCATATGGAGAGGAACTCAAGATATTGAATTTACAAAATGGTGGACGTACTAAACCGCTGCTGTGTTGCATTGCTGAATACCACTGCTGAACATCATTGTCTGAGATTATCAATTTCCAATTCGTTTCTCTATAATTTGATATCAGAAAATTCCTGTATGTATGTTTTTTAATTCACTTGATACTTATGCACTATTGAAAGTAAGAGAAAAGGCTCTTCGCGGATTAATTTCCACTGCCGTCAATTTTTATTGTTATTCTTGGCATTATGAAGAGTGAATACTCGATCACGCGTTATCCAGGCATTAGATAGAAATAAATCAACCTTTTCACACCAATACGAGACAGGACAACACTTGTGTCATGTACTTAGTCGTTTATGTATCTGCGCTGAGTATAACAATGCAATTGTCAATGTTAACGAAGCGTTCCTTGTATGCTACGCTTCAACGTCAACAACAACGCAGCCCGACAAAAGCACGGCGCGTTCTCCCCCGGATATCTCGCGGCAACCGGTGCACGGAATTTTAATATCCGAAGGGGAAGTTCGGAGTTAGCAATAACTGAGTCGTGGGGGGGATAAACCCTCTCCGACGGCGCGCTGTAGGCGGACGGCAACATATGTTATCTCTTAGTTTAATTAAATTCCTGTAGTGCCGAGCGCTCCGGCACGTAGGTCTACCCCTCGGAATGTGGCTAGTGTTGTGTCGTTGCCCTTGCGCGATGCAGGAATTTCAGTACGCCCGAGCACAGATAGAGGAATTCTCAAAAGTGCAACGTTTCGAATATGTCACGAATCCAATGTTGATATTCATTTGCGTATTTACTTTATGTTCTATTTATTTAAGAGTGAAACTCTTTTCACTTTCTTTTCTATTTACTTTCGAGTCTATTCTTCGTCAATGAAATCTCAGAGGAAGAAAGCTAAATAAAAACGTTAAAGTCCGAAGTATCTTTTACTTCGTAAAAGAGAAATCCTTCATAGTTGTGTTAAAATATTCACGCTTAAGCTTTATCGCGATTGATAATTACCTTTGTGAGTTATAATTTTTATTTATCTTAGTGGAAATATCATCTGGATATAATCGCATATAATAACATAACTTACGTCTTCCTTGAAGTGAATCGTGGAACATTGAAGCAGAGCTCCCATAAGTTTATGAGGATTCCATGTCACCGAATCAACCCTGTGAAGAATTATATGTTGTTGCAAATTCATCAAACTCAGTTTCGCTTTTTCTAGCGCACAATTTTTAATATTTTTAGCAAATAATAAAATGAAAGTTAAAGTATCTCAATTACTACTCTTATACTATTTTTGTAAAGCATCTTCCTAATTCTTTTTACACGCATATAAAATATATTTGTAGCAAAGCATATAGATTGCATATAGATTGTTTTAGAAAGAGGAGCTCTCCATTCGGTCTCTCGCCTTATCAGCAACCTGCCGAAGCGAGCCGTTCCAAGCTGACTAAAAAAAGCTAGCCAACCTCAGCTAGTCGTCAAACTCTTATCCACTCCCACGGGAACCAATAGGGGATAAAATATGAGTTATCTTCCCGCCGTGCCACAGAAGGTCTATCAATTTGAGAGCAGAGCTATTAATATAGCCCTGGGACCGGATTTAACCCCCTGATCCTCTGGGACCCACTACGACGGTAAAACTTCTAACCCTTCTTAATTCTTGAAGAAGTATTGTCAAATGTAAGAATCTACCTTCGCATTCTTTGATGATTTGACAAATTTGCGGTATACTTTAAATATTTGACAAGATTTATGGATGAAGTTATTAGATTTATTATTAAAAGCTTCAGATATTCTTTTATGCGTGCGGCGTGCGAGAAAAAGAGAGAGAGAGAGAGAGAGAAAAAGAAAAAAGAAAGATTTTCCTATTATTATGAAACTTGACTTTTTAAATATACACATCGCATGCTGTAGATATGATAGATGTTTGATACGTGGCAAATGACATGTTTATCGGGACACTGGTTCCCGCACGTGGGTTGAGTGCCCTGTGGATGATACGAGGGTACTCGAAGCACCCTTGAAGCACGATTTGTGTCGCCAGCAGACATTCTACATTATTCACTCGTGTGCATCCTCTTCGATGTTGCGGATCAACATACTTCTATTCGTTTAGTTCCGAAGGATTTTACGTTATGTTTTCTTTTTCTTTTTATTTGGCTACGTTCAATTCATATTTTTATCAATTTACTAAATTTATTAAATTCTCATTGAGTTACATCAAATTATACTTTAGTTTTTCTAGTTTTATCTTTATTCTTTATTATATATCAAACACTATATTATTTATAACATTTATGCTTATTAAACTTTCCAATATAATGATATACGAGACAAATAAAATAATAGATTTTATTACACATTATAAATTTAAATGTACGCAAAATAATCCGTTGAAAAAAAATTTGCACGTACTTATTTAGTTACGAAGTATATCGTCTTTTGTAATAAACTAATAAAAAAATAAAATTATACTTTAAGACATTATGTATCACACTTTATATGTTTCGAAATCGCCGTGGACTTTTGCAGCAAATTTACAAGTAATAATTTAATAAACAAGTTAAAAATATTCCTCGTATATTCAGGTCATACTTAAGAAGCATGTATAAAGCTCGAATGATTAATGCGATTCACAGCTGGAGCTGTGTTACGCGTGCGACACCCTTCTATTCACTTTTAAATTCATCCGAGGTGCCAGCCCCAAAAGCCGCGCAATATATATTACAGGGGATGCTAATTACCCGCACCCTCAAGCACGATGTGCGTATAGGCTCTGTGCGGAAGTTTTCTGTTCGACAGTGCGAACGTCACGCATCTGAGTCAGTAATGATCAAAGTAAAATGTTAACAGAAGTTAATCTTCAGTTAGTTACAGTATAGTTTTATAAAATATCAAAAATATCAAATAATAATAAATACAAGAAACAAAATAAATTACAGTGTATAAAAATGTTATTGTCTTGTAGCATAGATTAATGAAATAATAAAAAATGCATAAAAGTAGATAACACGATTCTTAAGATGTTAATTAAAGTTTTTTTTTTAATTATAAGAAAAATCTGATGAATACTTTCGTGTTCAAGAAGGTAGAAGTCTTCTAAAAGATTAATTACGCTGTAGAAACTTACGGTACTTTAATGCATCACTGCGTTGAAGTCCAATTCACGAAATTGTCAAAGTTAAGCAAATAGTCCGATTTTTATTCTTCAGGTTTGAAACGTGTATTCCGAACTTTGTGTAACTCGAATTTTGCGTACAGTTTTGCCCAGCTTACCCTTTCTAGCGCGATCTTTTCGTCCGAGGAGGTAAAATCACGGCGTTCTTTCTCGATTCTATGCAATCCAGGGCGCAGATAGTCAGGGGACAGGGAGGAAAGAGGACCGGCCAGAGAATGAGGGAAGCAGTTCCCTTTTGTACGAGTTTAATCCAGCATTGTCAAGGCACCGACTTTTATTTCAGTCTCGCCAAGGAAGGCACAGTGGCACGCGGCGCGTCGATATAAGAGGAGAGTTCTGTTCTGCAAATGTGCTCCAGGGAACTGATCCAGCTGTTGCTTGTGCGTCGGATCTTTCTCTGCGCGTCGTTCGTTTGCCATTTTAATCAAGACTTCCAGGAAGGAAGTTCCCGTCGCGGTACAGTCCATGTAGAAAAATTGCGGACGCACATTCTAATTTATATCGGCGTCGTAGCAAAAATAAATCCTACACAATTGTGTTTAATAGTAGATTTTAAATATTTGTGACAAAAGTTTGTATTTAGTAGCAATTTCGCGGATCACGAATAAGTGGCACGCGCTTCATCAATTCTAACGAGAGATAAAGACCAGAAGTACAAATTAAAGGTATGCTATTATTCTTAAACGGTAGAAAGATACGCCGCTTATTAATATTTCTCGAAATACTGTGGATTAGTAGACAAAATGCTATCATTCTCTTTTAAATTATTCCCGAGAGACTCCTAGTACCGCTTTTCAGGTCAGGGACTGTCTGTCATCAAATCGGGGGAGCAGATGCGCCTGGATGCAAATCGTGGATTAATCTCGCCAACCCCATGTGTACCTCGTGCGTACCCCTGACCCTAACACAGTCTGAAAAGCTCCGTCGGGTTCACGTCAGTGGAATCCTATACTTTTTCACCATTTCCAGCATTGCATCTTTCTCTCTCTCTCTCTCTTTGCCAAGAGTATTTTATGTATATGCAATGTAGAGATATATATTTTTCATTGTTTTTCTTAGAGATTGCCGAAATTTCCCGGATCGTCGAGTTTATTGTTAATGCAAGAGATCATTCGGGCACAATCTGACGCCAGCCCCTTGTAGCATTCTAATCGCGGGATATGCGAGCAATACATTACGGGATGACGCCCTTCGACTATTCTCATGTAAAATCATTTTCACCGCCCAACGTTCGAACTGCAGTTACGTCAAGAGGAACGTATCGATTTTATCCGCGACGCGCATCGGGTCAGAAGCGTTTTTCAAGTAAGTCCATAATAACTAAGCCCAACTAAGCTCCAATAAACTATAAAATACGTGGACTTAGTCGCCCCTACGTCGAGCATATGCACGTGATACTCAGTCAGAGACTAAAATCAATAAGACGGCATACAACGCAGTGGCATGTAAAAGTGTAATAAAAACAATTATTACTTGATATTTATAACACGCGCGTACACACACACACACACACAAACGAGAAAGAAGAAAGATTAAAATAAAGTTCAATATTTATATCAACACTCACCGTTCGATGCCAGTCAGTCTCGGATGCCTATACTTTCTCGACAGAAGCAGTCCACCACCCCAAGCCGCCTGGAACAAAAATGGATATAACATAAAGTATAAAACTCGATGATAGAATGCGAGAAATTAACTTGAACTACAAGTAAGTAAGCGAAATGCGAGATTCCGTTAAGCACTTCTCAATCTCTGACTTATAGATCCTGTGTTTTGCGAGTTTCCCGGCAACTCACCCGTGAATGTCGCACTCTAATGAAACTTCTGCCGCTTCCCACATTTATTATTTACGTTAAGGCTCTTACGCGTTTGGCATTTACAGTTTAAATTGCGTCCAGACGAGTCTGATTGCATAAGCGCATCTGACTTGATATAGCTTTTACTACTCAAGTGAGCATCTTTAAAGCTATACATTCGCTTTCTCAATTATTAACTAATATATTGTATAATGTACATATATAATGGAAGATAGGTAATATTTCCATCTACCTATCACTATTGTTTTGATTGTCATACTAAGGTACTATTAACTCCTTAAGTGTACGAAAAAGTTTCATACATTATCACACAGTTTAAATCACCACTGAAGAGATTAAGTAAAATTAAAAATATATCTTCCACTTATTGGAATGAAATATAAGATAAATATAAGTATTTAAAGATCCTTTTAAAAAAGAGAAAAAGAGAGAAAAAAGAAAAACGTTACTCACGTCAACATGCAACCAGAGTCTGTACTTTTGACAGATATCAGCTATTTCTGGGATCGGATCAAATGCACCAATAACTGTCGTTCCCGCCGTGGCGTTCACGAAGAACGGTATGTGACCTCTGGCCTTGCGCTCCAGAATCAGTTCTTCCAACTTCGATGGAATGATGCGACCGCGCTCATCGCTAGGCACCATCACGCAGTTATCCGTTCCGAGGCCGCAAACGGAAGCGCATGATTTCACAGAGTAATGGCACTGTAGGCACATTAACAACCTACATTGATCGCAAACAACCTAACTATTTAGAAAATTCACTTGGACAACTCTTTGGTTCTCGAAACTCTTTGGTTCTTCGTCGAAAGAAAATTTATAAATTTATTGTTTACCTGATCGGACGTAAACATAACGAGCTGTCCTCCGACGGCAGAGAGTCCTTTCTCTTTGTACGTTGGAAACATCTTGTGTCTGGCAGCAAGAAAAGCGTAAAGGTTGCTGATAGATCCTCCAGGAGCGAGAATAGAATCGCCGCCATTCCAACCTATGAGCTCGCGCATTTTTTGCAGGACAACATGTTCCATCAAAATAAATACGGGAGCGATTTCATAGGTAAACATGTTCGTGTTCGCAGTCGCAGTTAGCCATTCGCCAGCCATGGATACTAAATCAAGACCGCATGATAGTTGATTGAAGAAACGAGGATGTCCTGGAAACATAGAAAAGGAAAAGGAATTGTGCATTTTACACAATTTCTGATTCGACAATTTCGCGGGAATGGATATCCCTGTTATGCGAGTTGCTACAAACCAAGAGTCAACCAAAAATTAATTACTACCCCACTGATAAATCATCCTGCTAGTCGTGTCGTTGAAAATTAATGCAGTGATTGTTGACAAGTGGCTCTCTTAATAGTAAAAGTAATTAATAACGCTGACGTGGCACGTGTTCCAGTGTTATCGTGCTACACGCGGTACCGTCTAGTGTGTAGATTGAAGGCTCGCCGAAGGAAAGGCGGCAAGAGAGCTTTAAGCTCTTCACGAGTATGTTGTCATCCGCTCGGCTGAACATCGCGCGAGGATCAAACCTAATGCTTCTGTTCGATGGGAGTCTGGCCTTCTGATGCAACTAGGGGAGCAAGTATTTTACTTTCTCACTCTCTTCCTGACGTAAATGCGTCAGCTTTTCACTCTCCTATTTATATTACGAATTAAAAAAGATTTTCTAATTATTTTGCTAGAGAAAAAATAAATAACGGCGTATAATTCCATCGTAACACAATAATAGTTTAATTTGCTAACAAGAGAATGTTTATGAATGAAGAAAATTTGAATGAAGAGAATGAAGAAAATTTGGGGTAGGCGTATCAAATGTAAAGTAAGAAAAATGACCATTGGAATTTGTAGGATTATTTTCCCATGTATCTATCTTCAAACAATCAATAAGACAGACATCATATAGCCGATCCCTACTAGCACTATCAATTTTAGGATAGCGCAAATCCTTTGATCCTTGGAATATGATGGATTTACTCTATTGAATATCCGGTATCGAAAGACTTTGACCCTCTTGTGTGTTCAATAATCTTATGTGCCCTCGCAAAACGAGACGCTGATATGGCAGAAGAAATTCTATAGAAATAAAATAAAATGGAACATTTTTTGAATTCAGAAACAATAATTGCAATTATTTTACAGATATGTTAAATAGAGAATATATACAAATATATAACGAACAGAATATTTCGTTATTAATAATATTATTTTCAGCGTAACACGACAATGCCGTTGTTAGGTGAAACATGCCATGTGTCTATTCGACGGTGGATGCGTTTTAATCTTCTGGCATTACGTAGTGATTGACACATAGCACCGATCTCCGCAAGGTACGGACATCCCCTTCACTGACGCTTACCCCGAGCCTGGGATTTACCGCGTGGCAAAGTCGAACCGACGTTAAAGGCCTGGAAGGATAATCTCCGATTTTAGTCGGAGGATTCACGAGTGCGGACCGCGTGTTTCCATTAAAGGGATTCCATTAATGGAAAACAATTGTATAGTTAAGTAAAGTGGCGATAAGGTATTCTTAAGCAAGAATTTTCCTCAATGTCATTAAAAATTTTGCATGATATCGCTTTGTTCAACAAATATGTTTACCATCAAGTAAATATACCTGTAAGCAAAATCCAATATTCGTTTATTTCACGAGATTTCTTTTGTTATTGAGTGCGATCTATGAGTGCGATCAATTAGATGCTGCAAATGTTTTGAAGCGCCATATAGACTAATCTGGTTTTTCTTTAAGAGTTTCAAACGTCTTTGCAACGTCTAATGAATCGTATCCTACACGGAAAAAACAATTCTGTTAGTGCAACCGAATTTTCAGTTGCTCAGGGATCAGACGAAAACTCGGCTGTAGGAACAGAACAATTCCTTTATGAGACTTCTGTATAGTCAATTGTTCTCAGTTGCCTCAACAGAGTTCTAATATCGTTGAATCTTCAGACGAATTTACGGTTGCGACAACAGAAATATTAGTTTTCATAACAGAGATATCGGTTCTGATCACCTAATTTTTAGTTGGTTTCTATTTGGTTGCACCAACTGAAATTTTGTTGCGTGTATATTTGATACACGTATAGTCAATTGTTCTCAGTTGTCTCAACAGAGTTCTAATATCGTTGAATCTTCAGACGAATTTACGGTTGCGACAACAGAAATATTAGTTTTCATAACAGAGATATCGGTTCTGATCACCTAATTTTTAGTTGGTTTCTATTTGGTTGCACCAACTGAAATTTTGTTGCGTGTATATTTGATACAAATGCATTACAAATTCCCATTTTTTAACTATATTTATGAAGATTTCGACTGTTTTGCTAATATTTCAGAATCGCTACATGAATCATCTTGTAAGCGCGAATATCAATGGTACGACGTGAAAACCACCCCAAACGCGATATCAGACGGTGGCATTTGAGCCGTTTGTCGTACTGTTATTCGCAATTATCTCGGTCCGTGGATCGTGGCACGCGTCCGGTTTAGGGGTGTGCAAGAAGACGATTTTCTCTCCTCTTTCAGCCTGACAGGCGACGGGGCCACGTTTCGCCTAAGAGTGGAGAGCGGGGTTCGATGGTCCGAAGCGCCCGCATTTTGCGCGTCACACGCGTCGCTGCTCGACTAGATTGTTTGCAGAGGCTCTCAAACGCTGCAGACGCGTATCATCCAGGAAAAACAAACACATGCAGCCAACTGGTGCGAGATAAGCTGCTTTGCATTATGCAGATTCGTGTCGCGAGTTTACAATCACATAAGCATTCTTGGCATTCTCACGTGGAAGTGGCACACCCAGTTTACCAGTCTCATTTGTGTTATTACCTTGTATTTACTAGTCCTTCTTCTCATTTTCAATTTCCATCTAATGTGCAATTCTTGAGTATATGTAGGAATACATTATAGATGTGAGAAATAGAGATGAGGAAAATAAACTCACTTCTAGAGTCTGAGATCAGTTGATCAGCGATATAGATTCAAAAGGACGTTGATTTTAAAGAGTTCTTCGGAAATTCTAAATATTTTTTTAACAGCGTTTCATCGGTGAAAAGGATAACTATATAATTAAAATGTTGAGAGATATAAGTAGGGTAAATTATACTCTTGTTATATATATATATATATATATATATATATATATATATATATATATAAACTATTTCTAGACAATATTCCGATATTTAACTGCGACACGGCAAATGATCTGTCTCAATCGCCCAGACGTTCTTCATGGTGAATACGCGATCCAGAGAATCATTTTCCGACTAATTTGCTCCTTTCCCCACGAGATCGGTAGAAAGAGAAAACGCGAGGAGAACCTGTTTCGAGCAGACTACGGTGATATATTATGGGGTTCAGGATTTGTATGGAGCGAAGTGTGTAACTCAGGCTTAACATTAATGCGGAGTGATCAATCATACCGTTCATAAGGAAGGAAACATTGCGTCTGGCATTGCTATTATATTTTACTTCCATAAAGAATCTTCAAAAATATCGTATAATAATATATTGCTTTTATATCGTCTGCTTTAAGATGTAACCGGTATTAATATATCACTAATAAAACATAAAAATATTAACTTCACATAATAGGAAACACGTGACATGACTTATTTGATTATTATTATTAATCAATATCGTTTGATAATATGAATTTCATAGAATTGTTTCATCAAATGATAGCCAGGCTATGGCGAACGGAATCGAAAGTAATTTTTATCTCAACAAACGAATGAATTTGGTTCTGATGTCTAGTATGTTCGATTCTTTTCAACGAAAACTATCATCGCTCGAATACCATCCATGTGATAGAACGGCGATGTTTATCGCACTTCGTGACGAACCGATTTATCGTATGTATACGTGCATTCCACGACGAAACTATCGATACCAATTTAAATTCCTCCAATGCTGCACCCTACACTCTCGCGCGCCAGAGCTTCGCAAAATGCTGCAGCCCCTATTTCGCGTAGTATACCACCCTCTGTAGTCGGGTTTTACTCCCTATTTACTGTTTCCCCTCGACCCTACTGACGAAAAATCGCGTAGAAATGGCTCTTAATTACACCGATCCTATTGAATTCGCCACTCCGCGCAGCAGTACCGCGTGCAATAACGCCGCATTGTTGTTTCTCTCTTTTTATTATTATAGTCGCACTTATACACGCAATATATGGCTCGAGATTTGTCTTAAATCAGTAACAAAAGAAGTCATAATGATTATTTCAATAATCAACGAATACTGTGAAGCAAAAGTTTCGTATAATTTTATGATGTTTTATTTATATATGAAGAGTGAATAAAAGGTAAACTCTACAATTTTGAAGTTACGTAATAATAAAAGCGCTGAATGACAGTAATAGATTATCCCCAACATCACGAGTAGCATTTGGCGCGTAAATATAATCGTATGACGTGAAGTGTGCAGCATTCGGTGTGTGATTCTAATGCGCGTTCCTTTTTGATCAACGAGAATTTCGATATGTCGCAGATTGTACAAGTCGCGTTTGTGTAAGTTTTCTGGGTCACGGTAAGTAGAGAGTAAGCCTTTGTATCTGGGATTGCCCGCGAAGTTATAATGCTAAATGTTGTCATTTTTGGTTAGGTTTGTCACTTGCAGTGAATATTGACTTAATATATACATATGATTATAGGATATGTATGATCAACCATATTATTAAAATGAAGCTCAAAATCAAAATCAAGATTAAAATTTTTCTTGCATTAAATGTCTGATATGTATGTTCATGAAAATTACTTTGTAATTTTTAGTTTTATTTATAATACTTTTTATTGTTTTTAATTATTTTAAAATATTAATTTTAAAAATACTAAAATTAATATTTTTTTACAATTATACTTTATAATTTTTTTATTTCTCAGAATATTTTTATTATATTAAAGCTATTTCACTCCTCGTTAAATTGATCAAAATCTCGATAACATTGTTTCATCAGATATATAAGCAAAAAATATAATCTTATTTTTAGCGGAATCCTCATATAAGGCCTCAGGAAGATTTTTCTAAAATCAAAAGAAAAATATTCTAAGCAAAATATTTGTTTTAAAGTTAGAGAAATTTTGTTTTTCATCTACAGCATAAGTCTTGTTTTTAATAGAAATTTCTTGTAATAATAAAGGTAAAAATACCCTCTTTTCCTCAAGTAAATATATTTCTTTTAATTCAAAAGGATACTACAATACTAGAAGGATAGAAGAATACTGGAACATCTAACGATTCCGATTAATAGTTTATTTTTTATTAGAAGAGGAGTACTATTTTTAATTTTTTACTTAAAATATGGGATTACAGGAAATAGCATCTTGCAACTAGAGTTTATTTTTTGAATATTAGAATATTTTCTTTTTTTAGTTTTACGGAAGAATCCTCTTGAAGCTATATATAAGAGGATTTCCGCTAAGGATAAGATTATATCTTTATTTGTTTAAATGCATTATTGTCGGTATCTACTAACAAACTTTTTTCCATCACCATTCTCCCTACCGTTATCGATATCTCTCATGTATCTGATAACACCTTTCGAAGAGTAACTTTTATATCGGCACATATCGTTTGATATTCTTCAAGAACGGGACAGCTTCCTGTAGCCAAGGGTAGACTAAAGCGCGATATGCGAAGGGCTCTCGAATCTTGCGGTATATAATCTAATAACGAGTTTTTGTCAGCACGTATCGTGCACGCGCCCTTCGATACCGCTAGGGGATGATCACCCGCCCCTCACTTCCTTTTACATGAATTGCAGACAGGCCGGATTCCTAGCCTAAGTTTGGTTAGGTCTCCTCCATTGTGCATTACCATCCATTCAGCCCAGTAATCGAATCCTACCGAGATAGCAAACTTTCGCGCGCCGAGGGAGATTTGTGGTTGACTTTTGGTATTTTGCGGAGCCTCTACATCACAACGCAGTAATTTCAACGGACTGAAATTGTTGCTGCATTTCTGCGAACTGAGGCTCACTCTGTTGTAACAGACGTATTTGCTTCTCATGCTTTATCAAAATAAAATATCTAAAGAACGCGAGGGTTTTATCGAATCCTTCTTTGTAATCCATAAAATTTATGAAAAGGGACTTACAAATTTAATTAAAAAATAGAAACGGTAGAAACGGAAAACAATTCAATAAGTATATTGTTAAACAATAAATGTATAGTTATTTATTGTTTAAGAAAAATTAATTTACTCCTTTATATGATTATTCTCAAATTTAAGTGATCGATAAATTCGCACATTTGATGATTGAAGATTAAATGTAAAATCTTATGTCACTTATTCATGTAGTTTTTAAAACGGACGGTGGAAATGTAAGAGTAATGAACGAGAAGCAGCATCAAGTTAGGGTAAAGATGTTCTATCATTTCCGTAGTGCGCGACATAAAAATATGACGCAGAAATATCTCAGTTTTTTAGTTACTGTCCACCCCTCGTCTATTTATTACAGGCACGACGCTAGGGTGTTTCTTTCGAGTGTTAACCGACGGCCGTCGGGCTTCGTTACTAGTGTCTGTCGTTGCCTTATCTTCGCCCCTGCGTGCGCGTATGCTAAATTGAATATGAAATTATGTGGCTTATCGCCCTCGTGGATAGGCACGTGCGATAGCGCGGTGTTAAAATGCTCTTCCTGACAGGGGTGCCTGCACTTTTGCAGTATTTTTTGGCCTATTATCTCCGGCGGCGGCAGATCTATTATGCGCACTTTGAAATAATTTTAACGTATTCTTATGGTAAAAAATAATCCTCAGAAGTTAATCCCTTCTGACGTGAGATAAATATAAGGTTGCGTAAAATAACAGAAACTATTTATCTTTTCTCTTCGAAATTGTTGTTCCTCACATCACTATTAACTGTAACGCATATACGTTCGAGTTAACTTTCGTAGATTTGTTGAGAGCTGGTTCTTACTCGTAGACACAATTGAATATTGATTAAGAGATATTCGAGAGAGATGCTTGATTAAAGTCGCATAGTATGCATATAACACAAAACAAGAGGAATGTGTACTTACCGGTTTTCACCTGATACTTCAAAGTCATTGAACAATCCAATAAAAGCTGTTGAAGAGTCAACCCGGTGTCGGGAATCTCCAGATCCAACAGCCGCATCATGTCAGCAGGATGATGAAAATCGAGGATCTTCGCATTTCTATCGTTCGTTGATTTGACGAAATCCAATAAGATGTCCACCACTTTCATCAGGAACTCTCTAGTAGCAGGATAGCCTTCTACATTATGTGGCAGGATGTCTGCGAACAAAGTGAAAAATTGCAAATGCGAATCTTATGTCCTCATTTATCTATCAGATGACGCAATGATCATCGGTGTGAAAAAATAATTGCAGATATTACATGATTATAAATTATATATAGATCTCAAAGTTTCAAAAATACTGAAAGTATGAATATCGATGCCGTTCGTACGGTTCAAACTCGTGTACTTTATAAGAAAACAAATAGAGTGCAATAATACTTGTGCAATATGATGCAATGGCTACGATAACTCTCTAATTGTTGGAATCAAGTGAAATCTCTTCTACTACAATGATAACGATCGGTACCGTGTTGATAAGATTCCTTACGGCTGCCGTTCCGTCGCTCGACCTACCATCATGATTTTGACATCGTCCTCGGAGATAACGCGCAATTAGAATGATTTCACCTCATCAAACAATTGAAAGTATAGACCTATATTGACACACTCTCACTTGTTTGGTGGGATGACACCATCTTATCCATGTTCTTCCTTCTTCTTTTATACCCAGTAAGTTTGTGATTATTGTTATTTTGCGTTTGACATTAGTATGATGGAATACAATTCTCTGTTTTATAACAATCATGCAACATGCAATATGCGGCCTGTTAACAACACGTTAATTTGAATTTAATGCTTAGTAATAACATATATATATATATATATATATATATATATATATATATATATATATATGATATGATAAAATTAAAATTATCTTCATGCTTTAAATTTGCTAAATTTGTAAAAATAAGCAAATAATGTGGAAATTGCATAATATCGAAATATATAATCTTTATATACAATATTTTACACGTTATTTACGTAAATTTATCTTGAAAATATGTCGGCGTTGAAATTTCCCCGAATAATATATTGGTTGAATTATGGAGTCATACAGACGCCAAACAATGAAGACAGAACGAAGTCGTTGCAGTGGGACATTTCAATGTGCTCGTGGTAAATCCTCGGTAAATTGAACTGTCCTTCTATCGCGGAGCAACCATAAAGTATTCCATGGAGTAAACCACCCCCTCGTTCCCCATTGCATTAAGGTGATCCCATGGATAAACAGCCCAGCTACTATGAGACTTTGCTTTCAAATTATTATTTAGCATTTCAAGGCGATGATACAGGCCGCGTTCTTTAAAAGAATATAAAATTGTCTTTTCGCTTTTTCTCTTAACATTGCAATTGTGACGTACTATAATCTTTACATGTTGACAACGCGGAGAAGAAGAGACATCGATGTTAATTACAAATCTGTAAGTCACGTTCACATAATGTTATAACTCGTTAATTTGTTATTAATCAAATAAATAATTTTATTAAAAGATGTGGTGTGCAAATTGCAATTTTGAAGTATGAGCTGTCGTTCCTTTTAAAGCGGAACTTCTCTCTTTAAGCGATAGAAGTATTTTTTCAATAATCAGCAGAGTGCTGAATAAAAACCAAGCGGAGAAAGAGGGGTGTCCACAAACTTATGGTGAATCGTCTTGAGCCTATGGTTAGACAAGGGAAATCCCTGGCTTCCAGCGGTCGGATCCAGCTAATCCTCTACCATCAATCTAATGTCCGAAGACCTCCGCTTTTTTCTCGAGCTTTATAGTACTTTTCAAGGTACAAACAAGCTCGGGGAGCTCTGTCATTCAAGATTTCATTATACTGGAATGACTATTATCTAATTGGCGTCTGTTTTACGTGCTAATTATTCTCTTTCATAACAATAAAGTGTAATTAGCTTATGCTAATATTTTTATTTGAATGTTTAAACGCAACAACAATAATATATGTAACTATGTTTGTGAAATTTACTATTTCGCAGATTTGACTAAGTTTATGACCAAGCTCGGACTTAATATGTCTACCGTGTCTATAGTCATCTGGCACCAGATGCGATCTGGACCCTCGCATTTCGACTTTAATCAAAGCGCCTTCAGGGGGCTGTTACACGTGGCAATTAGTCACGTCGATTTATAACGTGGATTACGACGTTAATTTATAGTAATACAGCAGATTTTACGCTGCAACGCATCCTCAAGTAAAATTCCCAGGAGTGTTCGCGCGTGATTTACGATATTGCTGATTGTTCCGTGAAAAAATCATCCTTCGGGATAAGGATAAATCGAAATATTCAAAATTCCATAAGCGGCACGCGCGTGTCGTTATCGCTCGCTGACACTTCCCGACAGACGAAGACGACAAACCCTTCCGCATCCCTGCGGCGTGTAATCTGTCCTCAACCACTCGGCGTCTACCAGGTCTCTTTGGAACAATTCTAAATCCTCTATTATTATGCACCCTTCCGAGTCACAAGCCTCGTGAAATCAGGACAATATTGTGACTCCTGAGTCTGCTGTTGAAAGTCAACCCTATACTCGCGTGGTGCAAAATTTATCGGTGACGTAATTTGTTCTTCTTGAAATTCTTGAATGCCAAATATTGCGCGCACGCGTGACAGCATTGAAATCAATATCATTAATTTACTAAGTTATATAGATTATAGATAATATAGAAACAAATAAAGCGATATTCATGCAGCATCTATGTAGGATACTTCTAATAATTTCTACTCGTTCTTCTAAAACTTCTTTATTTGACAGATTGAGAGAGAACGATTCTTCATCTCAGGTTACACGTCACGAAGAAAAGGATATCTCTCCTTTACGCTAGTTTATATTAATTTCATAACAAAGACTCTTCTCCAATGTCATATCAGTGATATATCGCATGATTGTACGCTCGCTGTCCTTAGAGGAAGCCCAACATAAATGTCATGAACAGACAATAACGGAATGAAAAAGAGGCGACGGAACAACAGGAATAACAGTCAGAGAAGAATATAAATCAAGAAGTACTATGTCACAGAATATAATTTAAGAAATACTATGTCAAAGAATATAATTTAAGAAGTACTATATGTCAATTCCCTTCACATATCTTTATTAAGCGTGTTTGCGCAACGTTTGTCTTCCTCTGTTTCGGATTCATGCAATATTCTAATAAAAATTGACTACAGGCTCTTGCTACAGGCGAAAGGTTTTACACGATCACTCACCCGAATACTTCAGGTTGCAATGCTCCTTGGAGAGCGAATAGTTGTTTTCGGAGCTCATTAGTCTGGTAGGTGAGTGCGTTCGTGCGAAATTCTGAAATCCAAAGCAAGAGGACCCTTTCTCTTTAAGTTGCACCTTGCACTTACGTAACATTTACATTAGTTAGACCGACCCTTGCAGCAGCAAATAATAAACGGGATAAAAGTAATTTCCGTTAGAACATCTGTGTGTGAGAACCAAAGTATATGACCAATCTGTTTCACCTGCACAAGCTAGCCGTATTAATTATCATAATAAATATCGATTATCGCTTGTGTGCCAGGGATCAAGAAACTAACTGCATCGGCCTAAGGATCACTAAATGAACAGACGTGATGAATGACGTGCAAATGCGGATGCCTTACATATAAGTATTCCTTGATTGCTGTTATTTTAGTGCCGATCATTTGCACATTGTCCATGTCTCTGCTTGTGTCCCTCGCCTCAACAGTCCCTACAACAGTCAACAACAGATTCCGCTTCAGTCACGACGTACTGCGGTGCCGATCCTCGGCGAGTTACAGCGGGATTGCGAAATTGTTAAGCGAAATGTACCGCCGTGGCAGCACGATAGGCCGAGCGACCGAAGAAACATGGACAGAGAGCAGTTCGTCGTTTTGGTTTTCTTTCTTTATAATTCCTCACACATTAAGCTTTAACATTCTTACGATTATGTCGTATTGCAAATTCCAAACAAGAATTACATAATTACAATTCACTATTTTATTCCTATTTTATTCCTCTCTTGATGAAATATTTTGATTGAATATGGAACTTGACAATTTTTGTGTTAATCGACATAATATTCTTTGAAATATCGAAAAATCGGATCGCTTTGCTCTCTGAGCCAATCGAGCGGTTCTGGGAGCATAAGAAGTAAACCGAAGAAAATCCAAGACATCCACGAATCATTTTACACAGCATTAGAACGTGCAATAGAAAATATTGAAGAGAGATTATAAGAGAGGTAAAATGCTATGAAAAAACATGCACGTCTAATGAATGTATTCGAAGGAAAAGTATATAGGTTGGATGGTGAGATGTATTCTTATATGATACTCTGTTTTTTCTGATCAATCAGAAAAAATTTCTCATTAAAAGCTTTTCTCCTTAGAATAGAACATAACTTGCATAAATAATTTATTTTGAGATTTGGCAGAATTTAATGAGAACAATATCATACAGCACATGTCAAATGTCCAAAATACATCCTAAAGATATCCCAGAGATATTAAACATCTCTGCGATGTCTTTAGAATATATTTTAAACATTTGTGCCGTATGGGATAAAATTTGTGGATTCTTTTTTTTTTAAATTAGTGGAACTTTATTTCGTGTTTTGATCTTTTTCCATGTCTTTTTTAAATCTTTGATACATCAGAATTCAGCCAATAAGCTTTCTTATTGGTCAGACGTAGCAGTATGTTCAGCTTATACACGCGTGTAGGGATTTCGGGCATTTTTTAAGGACTCGTGGTCGACAGCGAGTGATTATTGTTATTATTCGAATTCAGCAAGCATTTGGCTTATAAACACTCTTCGGATTTAGCGAACGTTTGGCAGCAGCTGAGTATAAATCACTCTAGATTCAGTGAGCGCTTAGCGACGGATGACTACAATCGCATCCTTCTCTCGCACCGAAAACGATGGTTAAATTAACGTTGGTTAAGTTAACGTTTATTGATATAACAGTTTTATATTTCATATATATTCCTCTTTTTTGAAGTCGATTTAATCTTTATTCTCTCTATTTGTGAGGAGATTCTTATAACAATAAATGAACAATTCCTTCCAGTCCTTGCTGTTCAGATAAAAGATGAAGATTATTACATGTTGAAGAAAATGATTTACGCCATGTATGTGTGTGTGTGTGTGTGTGTGTATGAAGTGTGTAAAGTAGAAATATAATATTTTAATCAGACAAAAAGTTGCGATGTTGTAAGCTGCTAATATGATAAGTATAATAGAACTAACTAAGCCTTAAGCTACTTATATGAAGATATATAGCTTCAGCCTGATCATGCCAGAAAAAAAAATTAAAATCACGAGGTCGGCCTTAAACATGGAGGTTTCCAACTTTGATCGTTTTGCCCCTATAAGAATCATATAATAAAACGATATTTAACTATACACCTTAATGTCTTGAGTTTGCAATTTCGCAGCTTTTATTTGCTTCTTACTTTCCCTTTTATCATACAAAGAAACATTACAAAAGTTTTAAGCACATATCCCAATTTTACTACTGATCGACTCACTTTGATCCCAATAGTCCCTTTAAGAGGGCATTTACTCTTCTCAACTGTTTCCCGATCTACTCAATATCTTCTAATTCCAATCTAGCAATATACATTACGAGTTTTATTGAAAAACACAGAAAGACATCATCGTGTTTTAAACTAAAAAGAGATAAACTGTCTACTGATACAAAATTCACCGTACTCACTTAATTCGCTTCTCCGGGTCTTCTTCGCGGCCGGATGGTTCGACTTCACGATTTCAACGGGTGCTGTGTTTCGCTTTAGCGCGAGCGTGGACTTTAAGGTTGGAATGCCGACGAAGTGGCGAAACGACGATGGGCTTCGGGGTGGTTTCCAAGGGACTGCTTCGTGCCGAAAACGCCTGGACGACTCTCGAGTCTCGGCCTGACTCGACCTGCCTCGAGTCTGCCTGACCCAGTTTCGCCTTGCACAACCTACGCAGCCACCCTCTCCAACCGGGGGTGCTTTTGCGTAGGCGTGGTCGTATCTGGTTGCGACTGGTAGGAGTCGAGGGGTGAAACGTGGTGGTGGATAACAGGGCGTGTCGCTGTACCACCAATCCTGGTGCGAACGTCACTTTTGACGTCAGAGGGAAAAAGAGAGTGGAAGAGAGCGAGCATGCCAATTTCTCTTCTTGTTTGCTTTTTGTTTCCGGGGCTTCTTTTTGTTTATCCTAGCCGCGTGCGGTTTCCGCGACGGATGTATTCGCTACCGACACTTCTGTGCGTTTATATTTCGTTTGCTACCTCAGACGGCGGGCCGAGATGGGAAGAGTCTCATAGTAGTCGGGAAACGAGAATCTCGTGCTCTCAACGTCGGTGATGCGCGGAAATGTGTAGAGAGATTGAAGTTCGAGACGGTTCTGAGGGATGGTACGTTGCTGTCCATAAATTTCAAGGCGTATGTATTCCAACAGACGTATGATAGTTATGCTACACGCCCTTTGGGGTTTTGTACTTGCAGACTCTTGGTGAAATATTAGCTACATAGAATATATTTTCTCTATATATATGCAATTATCAACCTTATGCTGGATTGATATTTAAGTTCAAAGCTGATCTTTAAGAATAAAGAAATGTATTGTGATGTATGATTATATGTAGTTGAATATGAAATGTGACGACTTTCTTTTTGAAGAAGAATGTATGTATTAGGAAATCAAAGGTTTATTATAATGCCACTTTAAGTTATCCAGCATATATAAATTTTATATCGTAATGAATCTGATATATAGAACAATTAGCATGTCATCGATCTAACAATCGGAGAACGTTTTTAAAATGTCAAATTTTCAGGTCGCGCATTGAGAACAAGAATCGGGCATTCATTAAAGTGCGCAACGAGCTATCGTGGAAAAATCTAATTGCTAATTGTCCGATTTCTTTCTGTGGAAAATGTCGCGACGCCTGCGTCGTCTTTCTCTGGCTAAGGTGGGTCGGGGGCGAAGAACGTGAACAGGTAGGTAAACAGGGACGGCGATACTGGAAAAGGAAGAAACGGTGGTTACATGGACCAAGGGGATGGGAAGGACAAAATGGAAGGCAACCAATAGGATGCCGGGACAAAATGGCCGTCGGTGAATTTAATCAATACCTTCCTCCGTCCTTCGTTGTGGGTGGAGGACAGGACAAGACCCAGAAAGGGCCAGGAACGTAACTAGAAGTGCCAAAATGCATGCACGTACTCGTCTCATCGAGGTCAATATATCTTGTGTCTTATGTAAGAACGTAAATCCTCCACGTGGCCACATCCGATATAATGTACGAGAACTTGCTGTTTTCGTCGTTGTACGTTGCGTTAATACATCGTAAAAGAAGGAAAATTCCAGTTGAAATCAGAAACCTTCGCTTTTACCAGATTATTATCATAAACTACCTGTTATCATAAAAAATATGAAATATACAATGAATTTTATAAAATATACTACGATATACTACGTTTTTATAACCCATGTATTTCTGTACACGTGTTCTCGGGTGTCTAAACTCACAGATATTACTCAACTAAGATCCGAAAGACTCGTATAATATGCGAGATATTCAAGGAAATACTAGGAATTGATACCATTAATCTGAACTTACGAATACCACTCGGATATTCAAATAATATCCAAAAAAATGTGGATACCAAGTAATATCCGATATTCCTGAGTATTTAGGATTGACACTACTAATTCAAATTCATAGCTAACACTCGAGTATCTGTGTGTGAATAACTAGATAATCTAAAAAATATTTGAGTACTCGGATGTCCAGGTAATATGAAATTTGCGTATATAGACCATTAAATGGCTTTTAATTAAATTTGTTAAGTTCAACTATTAATTGAACGATCTTTAATTTCCTCCGCTCATATCAGTTGTCAATCAAACGATCTTTGATTAAATTGAAATCAATTGCCAATTAATCAGTTTCCAATTGTATTAATTTATATCAATCGTCAATTAATTAAATTAATTACTTGCAACTCTGTGCACATGTAAGTTTAATATTTTCCTTTACGAAGTGATATCATATGTCCTGAATAAAACATCATCCTGAAACATGTTGCAGCTTCAAATTGCTCAAGAAAAGGTAAATCAATAACATCATACATAAAATCAGGGTCCATACTTTCATCATTTTATACACATTACCAAAAATTCATTATTGTAGATTGAACTATTGATTATAAATTGAACTATTCGTGGTTTATTCATCACTTATATATATTTATCTATATGTAAAAGAATATTTCCTTGATCTCTTTTGTAATATGTGTATATTACCACAAGATATAGAGTAACATAATAACTTACAATGATTTACAACGATCTACATAGTACTCAACCGAACCGAGAGTGAAGAGTTCGACTGTCACATTCTTTTTCTTGCTAAAAAAGAAAACTTTGTGATTCGCACTTTTGTACATAAATTGAAATAAGGAGACATTATCCTTGAAAAGCTTTAGCACTAAGTTTTCACGAACAACAACTACCGACTTGAAGTGACTGTTTTAAAAGGGGATCTAAGTTATTTTACTATGGTAGGTAGAAAGAGGGCTAAGTCGATTTAATGGAACCACGGTCAGATAGCATCGATCCCGCATCCACCTCCCGTACTTCGAAGAAGGGTAGCTTCGTCACGAAGAAACTGACAAACTTCCTGTTCTTCATCACGAATCTTTCGGGAAACTTTAAATTAAACTGACATCCCGTGCAGCGTTCGGAAATAGATTTGCTATTTAAATATATGACGTTGTTAAAAACATAGGGTATTTTATTGCTCACCGCGGTACTTTTTGTTGCTGATGTTCCTTTCTTTTTTATCTGTGATACATACAAAGTACCTTGCCTGTTGCAGAAAAATAAGAAGGTTTTGATAAACATTTTTATCAAGCTTTGGAAAATACGTTCCGCTTATTCATTTGGTGACTATGAGTTATTTTTTTAATTATCAGGCTTTATTCAATCAGGCTTTATTAAATATCAGCCTTTATTCAAGTTAAAAGTAAAGTATTTATTGTGATTAATTGCTATCGAATTCTTTGAATCTTCTGTAATTTTCTCCAACCATTCTGCAAATGGAGAGATATCTAAACGATAATATTGTAAACCACGTTTTTTACAGATAATTTATATTTATATTGACTTATATATTATTTACATTAATCTTAAGTAGGAGTAGAATATGATTTACAATTTTTTAAATAAATAATGTATATTCATTCAATGTTTTATCAGATTTGTGATTGGCATGTAAGATTTGAATATAAATGTGCCACCTACTTTCTAGCGATTATATCAACTTTATGTTTGTAGATTTGTGTGTATCAACTTTATGTGTGTAGATTTGTGTAGGTATCGCTACTCCATTGATTCAATAAATAATGAGTAAATGTTTACGACATTGCGTCGCCACATCTTATCGATAATCTAATGTGCACTTTGCCCGTGCAGTTGAATGAGCATTCCTTATCATTATTTCTTTGTGAGAAGTTTTCACTACTTTAAGAAAATATTTATACGTTTATCTATAATAAATAACTTAATTTTATTTAGGTAAATATTATCTTCAAAAGCGTTACTGCAGCAGGGAAGAATCAAAAGTTTGGTAGACAAAAGATAATGATTGAGCGAAGGTTGAATATAATTAGTTTAACTAGTTCATTGATCACTCTAGTGCGTTGCTCTCGAATTTCTTCTTTTAATCAGTTTACAAGCACTTACCTATTACGTTATAATCTTTTGTATCTAATCTTTCTTTAAAATTTAGTATTTTCTAAAACAATCAATCGAACTATGATCGTTTCAGCGAAGATGAAAGGCTAATTATTTTATCTAATTGCGCAATATATTTTATCTTACGTATTGCAAAATTAATAATACTATTCGAAAATTTGAAAAAAATTTTCAAATTTCTAAATTTCTGACTATGTCAGAAGTATTTTCATTTAATGTTATTTCATTATTTGTTCTTGTAAAATTATAAATGCATTGTGGATACATTGCGGATAGTGAAATAAATATGACGTGTAAATATTAATATTCTTACACATACATACACATACACACACACACAGCCCATTGAGTTTTAATTTCTTATGAATTAGCAGAGATATATAGATTGTTTAGAGATGTTATCACATATATCGCAATCTCAAGACATGATTTGTATGTAACTGGACTGTACCGATTGATAGAACTTTAATATGATAGGAATTGTCGACGATTGAGCAGTCCAGTCAGCAACGCGCATCGTAAAGCTGCAAGTCTCTCGTTTTATTTTGCACGATTGAATCAAAGTGACTTGGCACATATTATTACTGTAAATATTGTATTTAAAGGTGAGTTAGTTATTTGATCTGTGTCGTTTTTCATTGTGACATTCGTAAAAAGTGGAGAAAGTGACAAAAATTCATTGTTTTCAACGTAAACGCTCTCACTTTACTGCTTCGTCTTATTTTTTTAAATTTTGAGTGAAAGTAAGATTTCACCGTACATACAATATCTGTAATATAGCTAAGTATATTATCGTTATACGTTAAGTATATTATCGATATACGTTATACTAAATCCAACATTTATAAAGATAGAAATAATGGCTTTCATACATCTTGCATGCAATGACACAATGTTTTGCGTTTGCAAAGTGCATCAATAATGAGAATAGTCGCTGTTAATTGATCCTTTCAGCAAGATTTACTGATTGTAATGTCCTATTTGCAACTGAAGCATCAGTTATAAATGTAACATTTCAATGAAGAATACACTGATTGTACTTTAAAGAGCATGCTTTGACAGAACACATATACTTCAGTCGCTTTTGAGATAAATACGAAATCCACAAACAATTCAACACTAAAGCCCAATGTTCATCAATATGCGTGACGTCTATCAGCGTAAGCGTTAATTACATCATCTAGAATCCCACAATGAGACTGTTCCTATCCTCGTTCATCTCACACAGCGGCTACCAAATCCCGCTTCGACACCCTCGCATATACTCGGGAGCGGTCGAACTCCAGAAATTCCTTCTTGGCCGTACGTGCGCCCCTCCCGGCGCGGCTGGCATCGGAACTTGAAGTTCCACATCCACTTCAGGTATTGATTAGCCATCACTTTCAGATGACGCCTCCGCTCCGGTGGGTGTTCCTGTTTGTATTGGTGGGTTGCGCCACGAGCATCCCTTTGCCTTTCGTCAACGACGCATGCGTTTTGCTTTGCCACCCCAGGGCTAGATCGTCTCCCGAGGGAGTCTGCGAGCTCCGGGGAGCCCAGTCCGGCTCCGTCCTGGACCTGGCGCGGATTATCGTCAGCCGCTGTCTGAAGCTATGCGATCATCAGCAGCCGTCCTCCGCCCGGGTTAGCTGTTTCGCTCTGAGATCGTTCCTCGGTACCCGCCGAGGATGTCATTGCCCGTCGACGCACGTTATGCGCACCAACGCGAGGATCCCTTCGTTGGTGGACGAACTGGCAGAAGACGTCGTCTCCCTTTCCTTCGGAGAAATCGTGATATCCGCGCTCCACGCGGCACTGCTCCGCGAAGACGTTGATGCTGAAGGGCACGACCTAATTGTCGACGATTACGAATCTGGAAGTCGTCTGGCACACGATGCAGAAAACGAGAAGTCAAAGCAACACGACGTCGAGCAGCCTCCGACGGGTAACAACGGTCACGGCACGATACTCCTGCAGGGTGAGCAAACGGACAGCAACGCGGGGTCAGACTCCTTCGTGGGGGATGATGACGTCGACTGGGAGAAATGGTGCATGCATCAGTGCAACATCGGCCTTGGCGGTAACGCATGCAATTGTGACATCATACCGTGACTCTCACCTCACACCGTGAGGGAACACGTCGAGGAAGAGGTAACGGGGAGGAGTTCGCATGGGAGGGCTTGAATTTACATATCTTGTAGGTTAATCGGTCCGATGGTCCGTTTAGGTTAAGCGACTTCAAACGTAATTAGAGAGAATTATAAACGAGGGACGCTATAAACTGGAGCATGTATGATATTTTTCGATTTTGATTATTTCAACTGTCACAATTTCTCTCTCTCAGCAGTTCATTATCTTAATACGTAGTATTAGTATTTCCTCTGAGCGAGACAGTTCAATAAATTATTATTCGGCAGTCTTAACACACTTCGCGCTATGTGTATCTTGATCTTTGACAACAAACGTCGAATTACGACCTAGATTGTTTTCTTCGTTATAAAAAAAAGGGGATTTGTACTTTTCTAATTTTTATATATGTCTTTGTATTATCACTTGCGTACAATTAATTTTAGATAAATCTCTTGAATATATTTACTTTATAGTATGAAAATATAAAATATGAAAAGTTCTATAGAATCTTTTGCTAACGTCCGACATGTTAAAATACATCAAACAAAATCGCGGAACGTTAAGTTAATGTTTGTAATAGAATTCATAAGATATTTTCCTTAATATGTGTAACATTGATGTAACTGCTTTAGGCTTAAGAATTCTACACAAGGTCCGGTTCACACGACTCGTGTTATACTTTGCCTCGTTTAAGGAAACTTTTATCTTGCAGTAAATTCCTATCGTTATTCTTATCTTATCAACTTTGACAGAGCTTGAGCATCTCAGATAACATGTATTTTGAGGTGAGAAATGCGAGCATGCAACGAAATCGTAATCTGCACATAATAAAATACATTTTACTTGTATCTTTTAACAATAATAATCGCATTGCATTGAATGTAATTAACGCAGCAAAAAATACATACCAAAAAGAAACGATTTTAACAAAAGTTTCTTTGTAGACTTCGTATTTTACATATATATCTTTGTCTCTTTCAGAAATACGTGTGTTTCATTAAATAATTACATAACAAACTATGGCGTAATAAAGAGTTATTCCGTACAAATTTATTGATTATGCACAATTGCATTTTCTTATTAAAGCAAATTGATTATTTTGTCTATACGTTGGTTGAATAAGACTCTGATCGAAGGAATTGCGACGTGTGAACAGGACATCGATGTGTGATATGTGTATTATGCAATAAATTCTATTTGTATGCACGCATGATATGTAATGTGCATTCATGCGTTGAATGTAATTTACCTAGCGACCGATAGCTTTTACACGACAATAGAGTTAAATAAATAAGCGACAAGACAAAATCCAAGTCTTCCATTTTGTAGCCGATTTGTTACTTTGGCGGTAGTGACCGCTTTACGCGACATTACATAAACGATAAATAGAGTGATCAAACACAGATAGTTACTTGTTGTTTAATACGATAAGTCCTGGCACGAAGGTCGGCCAACACGTCATCGATCGTCATTGATTGCTTCCGATCGAAGAGCTATCGATCGCAGGAAGTGATATCGATCATACGACGAGCAGTCGGTGCGTTTGTTATCGATTGCTATCGATTAAAAACAAAAAAAGTTGTGACGCGACAATAAGACGTAGATCTAGTATGCCTATGCGATGCATTTTCGATCTTATCATGCTCTCGATTATCGATCGGCAGACACACACCCACATTTTTCCTCTTTTCATTAATTTAGATCTTTTTAACATAACAGTGATTAAACAAAGAGTTACTTGTTGAGTGCCTGAGAAAAATGTTACAACTGTAATATACTTTATATATAATAGATCCAGTATCAAGAGAGAAAAGGAAACGTATATATACAAGAATATATGATAAATATATAGGATCGAACGATTATCGAGAGCATTATCAAGAATCGGTTATAATAATCCGTTATCTGGGCAGTAGATGTAATTGCAATATAATCTGTAAATATTTATATAAGTCTTTTAAAATAATATATATATAAGAAAGATGAAAAACCACTCGGTATATCAGTTTTTTTATATTTATGTATTTACTAAACACACGATTTGTAATAGTCGCAAACATAAATAGCTATATAATAACATAAGTTAGATTTTATTATCTTAAAAGTTTGACAAATAAAAAATAATCAAAATACTTGCAAAGTTCTTCAATATATTTATTCGTGTAAACAGTGTAGCTACATTTAATCTCCTAATTATATTTATACTTATGCTGTAACTGTAAATTGTGTATATATATATAATGCGAAGGTTTAATACACTTGTGCTTTGTCATACAGTAATATAAACAATGATTGTTGGAATAAAAATGCTGAAGAGATTTTAATTATATTTCTTACTATTTAGTATTATTACAAGATATTCCTTTTAATACATGTCCTGCTTTATAAAAAAATCAATATGTTATGAATAATGAGATAAGAATATATATATATATATTTGTCGTAAGATAAGACACTACTACACTTCTTTGATGATAACAGTAATATCTCTATTTATCTCGAAACAAAATATTAAAATAGAAGATGTATCATTTGCTGAAAGTACAGTAATATGTTTTATCAACTGATGATAATGTATACCTAAAAAGCATATATCAACTGTAGCTGAATGTTATCATTTGTTGATTATTGAACGATTGACAATCAAGAAATAGTTATTTGCTAGTTGACTTTCGCAACTAATAATTTTTTTTTATAATTTTATTACAACGATCAATAGATAATTTCGCTGTTAATCTTGTACTTTTATATTTTCTGTATAAAATCAAATTGTCTAATAAATATTTTTGTGTACAATTATTTGTAATTTATAGAATTTATAGAATAATATCGTTATGTGTTGCAAAAATTAATGTAACGATTAAGCTTTCTTTGAATTCTGTTTTTTATAACAACATAGTAAAATTTGAATTAATATATATATATCAATTTTTTAATAAAATTTTCAAAAAGACATAGTTTTAAATAAATATTAAACAGTAATTTTATTTACATTATGCCGTAATCAGTTCTGATACGAATTTCAACATATTGTCTATTTGAGGCGATCGATGCAGTTTTTATTTCCCTGAAGTAAAAGGCAATCAGGAAGCCCTCAATTTCATTACACTCTCAGATAGCTTATTGTCTGCTTTTTACTTTGCAATATCACACTTCATATCCCACAGCGCAAGCATCCCTCTATAAAAGCGGATTCAACGTCGAAGAGGTATCAGTCGAGTTCCAACCATCTCTCGGATACAGCTCACTCTTTCAGGTAAAAGCATCATGTATATTCTATTTATAATTATAATAAATTGTGACTTTTAAATCTCTTAGTTCTATAGAAGAATGTAAATTGGCTATATTCAGCCATAAGGTGTGTCATAACAAATATTTTTTTATTTTAATAACTTCATAATTCCGTAAACTTTCTGCGGGCTTTTCGCCTACTTGTTAGTCACTGTCGGATATTACGAATTTTGATATTTCATAACGAATCAATATCTCGTTGGGCAAACTCATTGATGAGTTCACTTGCAAATAATGTAGGTCGACTGCGTTTGATAGAGACATTTGTCTTCTGACCGTTTCCTCCGGTATAAAAGCTCGCAGCTTTTACTCCGTTTGTAACATTCGGTGACCGACGATCATCTAAGAATCAGGCAGTGTTTCGCTCGTTCGTTCGCAAGTAAGCTTTTCCGTGCAGAAACAGATTTATCACAATTCTTTTTAACATTTCTTATCAATTATTTCCAATAAAGTATTCACGAAATATTAGTAATTAATTCCACAATAAACGGAATGTAATCACGTTCGTAAAAAATCGCAATTATCAACGAATAAAGTTTTTATTATTTTAGGTGGGAACAAAGAAATCGTCAATATGGTTTCTACTCGTCTCGCCCTTGCCCTTGCCGTTATTATGGTAATCCTCGCTCTCAGCGTAGATGCTGCCTTTAGAAAACCACCCTTCAATGGTAGTATATTTGGCAAACGATCCAACACTGTGACCGGTAAGTACTAATTAATATAGAACTGTCTTAAACATTTATATTCTTAAGCTAATCTATGCTAGATTATGATAAGATAAGTTTAGATAAGAATTATCTATATGATAAGAATTAGCTTAGATAATTATAAGATGAAAACTTTTTAATTCATTTGTGAAGGTGAGGATTATTTCGTTTCGAATATATCTAGATAAAAAATAAAATTATATATATGCCGATTCATCTAGATAACTCTTAGATAATATTATTTTTAAAGCCAAATATATATAAAAACAGTTATGAAAAAGATTACAAATTTATAAAAAGAATATAAAAAAATATATAACAAGTGTACATTAAATATATACTCTTATTTATAAGTCTTTATTATGTAAAAACAATTTTTTACATGTACTATTCGATAGACAATTTGTGCAAAGAATATAAATTTGTTGTCGGTTTATTCTGATTATAGACGAATACCAATGCAATTTCAATCTCAATGCAATCTGATACTAACGCAAATGTATAATAACGGCAATATTTACGTACTACGTAAACAATTATATATTTCAATATTTTACACATTTGCAGTAATAAAAGTATCTAAACACCATCTTAATTAATAAAATAACACTTTTTTCCATCCAAGATGCGGATGAAGATCGTATTGTTTTATTATCTAGATGAAGATAAAATGACACCAACATTTTTATTTGGGTGATTATCTATATATCTTTATCTAGGTAAAAGCAAACACTGGTTATATTGCTTGCAACTGTACTTGATCGTAAACTTAACTCCATCTGTTAGATACACCTACATAAAAATACCGACTGAGCATTTATACATTATATTATTTGATAAAAACTTCTTGTGTGTTGGATTTATTCTTTACTTTTAATTCTTTTCCTTTTATATGTTACCTAATTCTTTGAAAAATATTGAAAAATAACATTTACCTAATATTTTATAGCACATTTTTAGAATATATTTTCTAGTTTGAATATCATTAAAGTTTATGAAATCCTCTCTTTTGAATGAATTAGTTATGCGATTATTTGTTGTTCAGTATTTTCATTGCTGGATAATAAAAAATTAATTGTTTAACGCAATATCTTCAGATTACGATGTTACCAGCCGCTCTCTGTCAACTATTTGTGAGGTTGCCAGCGAAACGTGCACTGCTTGGCTACTTCGACAAGATTCCAACTGAAGATAAAATGCTGACCCAGATGTTTTACACGACTTCACCGACTGATCAACTCATGAAACGATGTAATCAACCGAGCTCCTGTAAAGACCCCTAAACGTGCGCTTGAAAGTTCGTTACATTGTCTCCTGCCAGTACTTGTTGTTGCATTATGTTACATACTTAATCATAAATTTATATTTATCAAAACGATATTGTAAAATTACGATAGTTTAAGCTTTCGTGATTAGCTATGTTTATTACAAGTGTCACGAATAAAATATCATGATTTGAGGAGCTAATTAGTATTGTTTAAATCATTTTCTACTTTTAATGTTTTCATCATATCATTTTGATTAAACATGTATTAGCAACGGATTCTATCCAATATAACTTTATGTTTGCATATTGGACAATAATATCGCAATTATTTCTCAATAATTATAATACAAAATAATCGCCTGTCAAAATTAGATATTAGGGATAATGTAACATGATCAGTCTCTGTTAACTCAACGCCATGTTAAATTTGGCATAATTTATCAATTTTACGAGTTCATTGGGATCCTGTCAAACGTCGACATTCTGAAATATAGATCGAAAACGATTTAACATGGAAAGCACGTTCTCTCTATTCACTTACCAGGATAAGGGTTACAATCTATTGTTCCGACCCGAGAAAAAATTCACATGTGGATCAACTGCAAAAGTATTGACGCATATCTGATTCATCTAATTTATAGGCAATTGTGTGAAACATTTCGTATTTATATATCGATGCCTTTTGCTTACAAAAATTTAACTACAATAAAATTTGCATTTCCTGGAAAAGTGTTTTTGCATTGAAAATTATTAAATTTGATTTCCAGATATAGTAGCGATAGTTGCATTTAATGGCAAAACGAATTCAGTGATATATCTTAAAAACGTATTACATGCGAAAAATGCAGAATCAAATATTCTTTCGTGTAGTAATAAGAAATTGTCAGACGACACTCACACGGACAAAGGACAAAAATTCTCCCACTGATAAGAATCGATCGAGCAATTTATTCTCCATACTATAGGGGTGTCTGCGTTAATTCACAAGGCGCACACGAGTTAAATATTTAATTCGTCTTCAATTTTGGATATAAATATGGGATGCCTTGTCACGTTAAACTCATTACGTCCAAGTGAACTTTAGGTAAGCGACATATTATCTATACACTAATCACTAATCTGATACATTATAATCAGAATTTTCATGTATTTTTTTTATACTTAAAAAAAAGTGCACTTCTCAATAGTTTCTCACATCTCTACGATATCGAATTAGAATAACCAATATTTTCTACGGTTTTGAGGAAGAAAAGTAAATGTCATTCTCATATTTGAATAGAATATCTGCTTTCTACGATATTTTAAGGAAAGTAGCGACCGTATTTGAAAAATAATTTCTATCTGCGATTTGTAACTAATACACCGAGATTGCATTATTTTACGTAATCATAATAATAGTTTGCATCAAAATGATAACTTATTTTAAATATATTAATTTACTATTAATTAACTTATTTTAAATATATTAATTATTTATTAATTTATTTACAAATAATGCTTTTAGAATCTCAGAGCATAAATATAAGTTGTAGAATATTACATAGATTAAAACTGTCATCAAACGATAATTTCAAAAATCACAATTTTGTCAATAAGATTAAATTTACAGCTACGCCGAAGTCCCGATTTTTCGCTCCAAATTCTCGATCGCGCACGTTGGTTCTTTCGGAAATCCTTTATTTATTTTTATTTGCGTCATACCCTGATACATCGCAATACACCAAACATCTCCTTTACGTCCTACGACGTCCTACAACGTATCTAGTCTACAGAATGCATTTTATTCGTGCGCAAGCTCCTGGTTGAATATACTCGCGCGTGTTCCGCGCGGGGGAGAACGCGAGTGTACAAACAACTGGCAGAATTCAAATGCGATGGGGTTTCCCGACGTGCAAACTGCACGTCGATTCTCCTTCGCCCACAATTCTCGAAGCACTCTTTGTCCACTCTTCGCGGTAATGGAAGAAGCCGTACGCGAAAAATCGCTCAGTGTTCCCTGAACGCCCGTCCGAGACGCGCATCCTTCCTGCGGGAGTCGTCAGAATCTTCGGCAGTCACTCACGGGTCGGCCGCGATCGAGAATGCTACGTCGCGGTTGGCAGTTTCTCATACGCAGTAGTAACTCTTACGCTCGTGTTTGAGGCGCGTAATCGATTATGTGCTGCCCGGAAAAGAGTCACTCTCGAAGATTCAATTGTGTTTCATTCGTTGCAGGTGCTACGATTTTCTCGAGATGATGCCGAAAAGGAGTCATACTGGGCAGATCGGAGGTGTTTTCTTTAATGGTAAGCTGAATATATCATTATCCTGTTTTGTGTTTTCGTAATAAATCTACCTAGAGAATGTGTGTTTGTGTTCACTTGAGTATTAATTAAAAGATTAGCTCCTTGCGTTGGGATAATGTCTTCTGAATGTTGCGCTCTCGCGAGCCGAATGTGCGCATGTAGCTAATCAAAAACTTGATTGACTTGATCTTATTATTTTGTAATAACGAAACTCTTAAGAGAACTCTGCGAGATTATGTAAAGTACATATTAATCGAATTACACACCGAGATATGCTTTCGTTCTTTTCGAGTGAATTTAGGTAGACCCGTTCGTTTTACGAGCTCGTTAGTTAAATCTCAACGCAAAAAGTCAATTTTACCTCTAAATCTAAATTTTAAGACGCTTAATGTTATATTTTGGGCAATATATATCTAGCTTTTCTCGTTGGAGTGATCACATTGTTGATCTATCAAAATATCGCAAAAGCGGAAGAGGTACCAGCGTTTTTTCTGAAGATCGCGAAGATACCAACGGTACCTCGAGTAGGACGAAGCGGCAAATTTGAAGATTTCTTTTACAAAGCCGAGAAGCACATACCACGAATTGGCAGAAATATATATAGTCAGGTATCTGATAATTAGAATTTATGTAACTGTTATAAAATAATTTTTGCTTTATATACTTATTTATATCAACTTTTACTCAATGAGATTACGTAATGCTTATTGTACATATTTCAAGTCAAACGATCCTCTACCATCGCAAAATGAGCAGGAAACTTATTCTGATTTGACGAAAAGACGAATCGATTATTCTACGAAAGGTTAGATTAATTGATATATTTTTTCATATATAAAGAAATTATTCTCTCCGCATAATCCTTCAACATACTGTTTTTATTAGTAGCACAAGACTCATGGTCTTGGCAGAACTTCCCTCTTGCCATAGAGGGTCCTAAGGAATTATGGCGAACATTATCTTTATATGCCAGAGACGACACTGATGAGTAAGTGAAACAGCACACTCGTAGAGTTCTAGATTTACTGAGAAGTGACATTGAGATTTGGTATATCGAAAGTTGCTATTTTTATGCATTGTGATGTGTAAAGTTAACCTCAGTTACTTTAAGTAGAAGAATACTCATCTCATAATTAGTTAGAATTAGTTAATAATTCTGTACATAAAAAAGTACTTTATTAAGTTGATATACTAAAAATATATAATGAAAATTACAACTTGGTGAAATACTTATGTACTGCTGTGTAAGTAATATGCCTCTTGGGCTTTGTGATTCTTAATATATATTCTTAATAATAGCTTATAAAATTTACTTTTAAACTTTTTGCCTCTTTGTCAAGCGCTGTAGATATTCGATGATACTCGATATTTTAATCTTCATATAAATTTTAAAAAATATTACAAAATTCCTAAAATATATAAAATGTTTCTTCATGTATATCGTAGCGAATAATTACTTAATTGATTCAAGCATCGATAACGAGGTGTGGCACAGAAAGAAGAGAACTGGACCTAGACCAGTGATTACGCAAACCAACTAGCATGAACACAAGAATCTTTCATGACTTTGGGAACGTCAAATACAGAACATTATACGGCCATCGCAGCTATGGTGACGGGTTATAACCAAGAATAATAAATACATACAACTGAAGTGTATAATAAATATATAATAGAAGTGTGATTTCACTTTCATCCTCCTCTAACTTCTTCAAGTTGAATCTGTATAATTCTTATCAGTAAACGATCAATGTTCTGCGTTGTCATAATTTATTTTTCTCAGAAATATTGTACAATATGTTGATAAATATTCAAGATTCTCGTAGAAATAACAATTTAGAGTATAGATTCGTAATATACATCATATTATAATAATTTTATTGACTGTCTTCTTCAATATATGTGTGTGTGGATATTTATCTGATAATAATAAAATTTAAAAAATTTGACTAATTCCTTTTTTCCACATTTTTTTATTTTTGTATTTATAATTTTTCCCCCTATTTTCATCAATTAATCTTTCATAATCAAGGTAGTTAATCTCATAATAGTGTTGATTTTTGTTCATTCTGATTACACGTTATTACGGGTGAGAAAACATACTTCCGAATGCAATTGACACTTTCGATTTTATTCACATTTGAATATTTAATAACAATCAAGATCGTATGCCATCTATGAATTTCAGCGAATACTGTTTCCGGCAATGTTATCGATCCATATTCTTCGACGGAATAAAATTCTCAACTATTCTTTATTGACACTATCGCGTTGTTACATAGCAAAAGAACTAACGGAGCTTAAAAACAGTCTAGAAGAAAATAACAAAATGAGACGAATATTTGCTCCAAAAGAGAAAAGTAAGAGGAAAAATTGTCTATGACAGTGATACAATAATACATACTCATATCCAGACATCGAAATTATGGACTGAAATGGAAGCAGACTGCAACAATTGCAGAGAAAATAATTTTCTACCGAGCACTGTATGTTTTGTTTAATTAATCTGATACTATGTTTGTACGGGCACCTGTAATTTTCCGTAACTTACGGAAAATTGCTCATGCAATCGAACCGATACTTATGAAGGACTAGCTTTTCGCTGCAAGGCGTCTCGCACGGCAGTTGTTCGTTAAAATTGCAGATGCGGGGCCCTCTTCTTCGCATCGGTCGTCATGTGACAAATAACACTTCACGATGGCATTACCGAAAACGTGCGTGTAACGACCGAGGATCGATGTAATCGGCAATTATCAACCGTGTGTAACGGTCGGGAAGTCACGAGAGCAGACTGGTGTGAGATGGACGTTGATATCGTCAAAGTTAAACACTTGGAAAGGCAAGGCTACCCTTATCGCTCACGACGTCGAACAACACTTGCGTGAAACCCGATCGCATTTTTCCAAATGTATGCAGCTTTCTAAAGATGAAAACTACATGCCCGCACGATCTCTCAAGTGTGATAGAGATCTTTGGTATATTTAAATGTATGAATATTGAAGTTTCGCCGTGCGTTTTTTCTGCGATATTCGTTATTTCTCCTTTTCGATTGTATTATTTGATTGTAAATTACCCGCGTATTCGAGTATCTGATGCAAACGAATGCCTGGAGTCAAAAGTTACATGTAATACTGATTTTCAATCTGTTATTTATTTTTATATGAGTTGATTTAGATCACTATTAATAATTGTCACGCTGAGAAAAAAAACTTGAAAATTTATTTGTGGAAGATAAAGTTTATTCGGAGAAGTAAACTCTATCTCATAGAAATAAACTTTATCTTACGAATAAATTTTCAAATATTTTTTTTCAATTATTTTTCTCAGTGTACTTGAAATTTGTCCTATGTGGGATATTTAAATTTGAATTTAAAATCAACTTTGAGTATTTCATTTGAATCATATAACGCGAAATTACATTTATAATCGCGATTTAGCTGAAAGACTCGCATCTAAATCTAAATTAAAATCTGAGTATTTTATTTGAGTTTTAAAAATAACGACTATACATATACAAGTCTTAGTCTCTTGTTTCCCTGAAATATTATTTGCATTAAACACGATATTCGAGTACTCAGGTAATAAACAAAGTAACCGGGAAGTACTCCAAATACTTGGGTATCCGAGTATTAACTCGTACTCCACTGACACCACTAATATATATAACGCTCGGTAAAGGAAAGCGAGAAGATCGTCGGTTGCATACAAGACGTAAACGTGCAATTCCGCATCGTCCGATAAACGGCGCCGTCCGAGACGCGGCACGTAGTACCGCGAGGCGTCGTTTAATGTATACGAGATGCTGACGGGCGACGTAACGACAGGTATAGATAAATAGGAAAGTGGAAAGCGAGCAAGCAATGGCGTAGCGATTTTGCATGAAAACGAACGCGTGGCCCCCTCCGGTTGTCACGATTACGAATGCCGCTCCTTATTAGAGGCAGCTTAGGCTCCGTATGAGGTAGAAGCGGTTATGATAATGAGGAGGCAGAACCTTCACAGGCCACGTGATCATTTTCAGCACGTGACGATACGAACGTGGGTGGACTGGATCCGAATGAGGAGGAGTCGACCTAATGTCGACTCGCGCGAGGTAAATGTTCCTTGCATCCGCCGTCGATAAATTTCCTAGCGATTCTTGATACCATAAGAATCACACCTTTGGGTCAATCAAAATTTCTTGAAAAAAATATTTTTGAATATTAAATAGTAATAATAATAATAATATTCTTATTATTATATTATTATATATTTTCTCAAAAAGAAAATATTATTTTTTATTTTATCATCTCTCATTTTACTGCTTGTATAATAACAGTTCTTCAATTTTAAACATCCATTTTTTAAATATTTAATATTTTTTATCAAAATCTCAATAATAATTTAATTTTTCTAATTAGTACTTTATTAAAGAAATAAACTACGTCATAATAATTGCAATTAGGATATGAATACAATTAACACGAAACAATTATTTACTGTTTAGAATATTAAAATATTTTCTTTTTTTTACTAACATAAAATATATCAACGTTAGGAAAAACTTCACATAACTGCACATAACTACAGTCGAGAGTGTCACGTTGGAACCCAAGATGTCGCCAGATAAACCATACGAGGTATATATTTTGAGAAGTTATCGTTAGATAGCGCCATTGATCCGTCAAATATAAGCCATTCTGCGCCACTGGTCACTCCCTGTAACAATAAATTGTTATAATTACAATAATTCTTGCCTTTAAAGGACTCTTTGTGTTTATGTCTTGTCGCCGCAACCAGTAATTTTAATTCATTATGCAGTAATGAGCCACAAGGCGACTTACTCTCTTGCCACGGTGACCTAAATCCAAATTATCGATAAGCGGCACTTTTCGTCTGCCATATCTTTCGCAATATAATTTTACCGTACATTTTCAATTAAAATCTTTACTAATGTTTTCATGGTTTTACTTGCGCATCAAGTCAATCAATTTCAATCAAAAATATAGGCAACCAGCTTAAGAAGCTTCAAATAACAATACAAACGTATCTTATAGCTTCATCTTTTTAGCTAAATATAGCTATACGTATAGGTCTGTTTATGTTTTAAGATAAGTATAGCTCTTAACTTTAACTATTTGCAACTTGACGCAAGTACAGGTACGATTATTTGTAAGCAGTAGTTACTAACACTTTTTACTGTTGTAAAAAGATACAGATTATCTTCCAATATAACTTCGCTCCCCTTCTGTCTCGCAAATAGGTAAATAAATCATCCGCACGACATACGTTTAACATAATTTTCCATACAAATTATGAGACAACAGTTATAATAAAAAAATTCGTAAAATACGAATTTCTAAGTATGGTAATCTATATTAGTATTTTTCGCCGTGCAATGGAGTATTGTTCAATTGTAATGATTACTCCCTCGCTTATATATATGATCCTCGGAGCAATCCCTCCGCTGAACTGCGATTAAAATCTGCTCATGTCAATATCCCTTAAAACTGCTACAAACACACATACATACGTCCACACACCGGTGTGAACTTTCCAAATAATTGCCCCACGTATTATTTAATTTAACTAATTGCCATTTGCCCCGCGAACGTACACGTTCACGTGATCCAGCGCGATCCCTTCGGCGGAACATCCTCGCGCATCTCTGATTTTTCTCTCGTACTTTTTCGCATGGTAATCACGCCCGATGCATAATTCGCACGTGCACGAAACGTCGTTTTCTCCGCCGCTTTCCTCGGCCACGTGCGGTTTTCGTGTGGCTATTTTTCCGCGGTCGCTTTCCCCCGCGGCGCGGCGTGCTAGCTTGTGCGAGGGGCGCCCTTTTCGCGAGATGCGTCGTGAGGATACCTCCGAGCCCGCCACTACGTCGACGAGTATGTACGTCGAGCGCGACGCGGGACGGTCGGGTTCGCACATAGCAATTTACGGAAACCGCACGTAACGCGCGCCGAGCCGAGCCGAGTCGAGCCGACACGAGCGTTTCTACGGAGTGTTACGTAACGGATCGACGCTAGATCGACGGTCGGAGTAACTGTATTTTCGAAGAAGCGACCGCCGAGGCGAAATCACAGAGCAAAACCTGGCCTACGGGTAGTCGCCATACTGGTGGTAGTAACGAAATATTGCTCATTTTTGCAGAGCTGCTGCGACTTCTACAAGTCCACTTATTGCATCTTGCACCTCGCCAAAGTGTTTTTCTTCGATGGACTGGACAATATGATCAAACAAATGATTCTAATTAAGTGTTATATATTCTTAAACAGAAAAGAAGACTCGATTCGTGTTACTGATTCTGTATTGTTCAAGTCTAGAAGAAAACTCGATTTTAGTACAGAAGGATTTCTTCTATAGTAAGATTTTCGTACACAGTCAGAGTTTCTCAATTATCTCTACCTCTAAGTATTAATGCAATTGAATATTCAGACGTGTACAGTGATAACAGAGATATTGTTTCTCGAGTCCTCGAAATTTCTCGTCTGATCCTCATTCTGTTATACAAATTGAAATTTTTTTCTGTGTAAATAAAACATTTTCTTATCTATAGCTAACCGTGTCAATGTCCGAGTATTCGAATAGGGGATGCTAAATCTAGTTGAATCAAAAGTCATGTTAATCATGTGTTTTGTTTACCTATTTATAAGAGGAACAGTGGAAACGAAATTACGAAATGTTTCAGAGAAAACTGATTTAAGAGTTGCCGAATACGTTTTCGAGAGTCTCGACATTTCGTGTTAATATTCTCCATTATGAAACTTAAGTGACGTATTATTAGTTGAATAAAGCTTTCTGCAAATCTATCATACACTGTTTCGAGTAACAAAAGCAATTTTCATTCATAAAATGATTGAAATCGAACGTATAAATGGACGAGTTGAAGCTCGCTAATATCTAAGAGCCGGCAAGAGACTATGGGGATTGTGGAGAATTTTCGCAGAAACCTCGAGTTAGAT